TATTAGCTGCTGATTGCATTAGGAAACTGAATAGCCAAAACTGAGTTGCTGCTAGTGGGTGACTTGGCTCTCCCAATGTGTGGTCCCAATTTAGGCGGCTTGATGGCGCTTCATCAGACCCTGCTGGAGCAGGTGTGCTACCTGGCTGTCCTACAATGGCATTCCTCTGTCTTGGTCACTACCACTAGTCAGTACTAGCACATTGTGATGGTGATGCCTGGGGAGATTCATTGCTCTGAATGGTAGTGAGTGTAGTGGCGGGCTTTGCAGCCGCTCAGTGAGGAGTTTGCCAGTGACATGGGCTACACTCAGTCATGCTTCTTCCACTCCATTATGCCATTATGCCAGCCGAAAGTACCCAATTGTTCCAAGAGAGCACTTGAGTGGCAAAGTGGCTCCTCTTGGCGGGGAATGTGTCAGAATCCTAAATTGGGAGCGCCACGAGAAATGCTGCACAGGGCTAGGTGCAGTGAAGTGTGTACTGACTCACGGTGTACATGTATTGCTGTCATCAGTGTGATGTTCTGCACGAGCCTATACTAGGTGCATGCAGTGTACTGTGTAGTGCCTAGCAGTTCTGCACACACCTAGGTGCAGTGTACTTACTGAGTTATCTAAGCAGTAATGATCTGCCTAGGGTGCACTGATTGCGATCTGGGCTGATATCACTGGTTGTAATATTATATTGTCCTCAGGTCCCAGGTTGGTTGGTTAGTGTTAGGGCTGGGTCCTAATCCTCACCCACTGGTCTATTTCACTGCTGCATTACGCCATACTTTTATCTTTGTTCCAGTCCATAAGCTTGGCGGTGTAGTTTTAAAAGAATCTGTGCAGCTCAAGGAAGCCACATTGTCTTTGGGATTGGTGATCAATATCATCAGTGCTGCATACACAGCAGTGACAGTGGTGCTGCTGCTATGAGCTGTAGCATAGCATGCCTAACCTAGCTGGGCTGTCATCTTCTTGAGTGGCACAACAGGCTCCCTGTGAGAGGGCTCTCAGCCTCTTTGTAGCCATAATCACGATGGCTGAGTGGCTAGCAGCAGTCCCAGCACTCACCATGCATGGGCATAATTATTGTGAGTTGATCAAGTTGTCAGCTCCTGAGGCTCTCCCCTGGATTCCCCTCGTGGTGTCCTGCGCTGAAGTGGAGGTCATGTTGAGAGTGAAGTGATGACAAGTGGCTGCCCAGTGGACAAAGAAACTGCTCAGTGAGGCTAGCTGCAGAGCATGCAGATGCACGGAAGTGATGAAGTATGCCTGCTATGCCTTGTTCAAGATAAGATAATGAAATCAACTCACTGCAGGCTGGCAGGCAGTGGTAGTGGTGTCACTGTCTGGGCTACACAATTGTACTGATTACAGCACTCATTATTGAATCCTGCTCTCACTGAGCTCTGCTGCTGCACATTGCTCGTACTGGTACAATTGTGTATGTGATGTGCTGTGAGTGTGAGGATGAAGGAATACAGCCAGACCAGTGACAGCACTGAAGTGAATGTCTGTATAGTACTGGAGATGGTGCCATGCATGTGCAAAACCACTATGCATGAAGGGGAAATTCCCTATGTGCAGCCACAATGCCACATGCCTGTCATGTGCGAAACGACAGTGTAGGGATGATGTAAGACGCTGACGGCATGGGATGGGTAGGATATTGGTGGAGAGAATACAAAGGCAAAGGAGTGTCTGTGGGTCACAGTACACACGTGTGTTGTGTGCTGATGACGTGTTTCTATGTCATGTACTAGTAGTAACTGCTCACTACCGCTGGCGCTCCGCCCTGTGTCAGTGTGTACGTGTGTGTGTGTGTGTGTGTGTGTGTGTGTGTGTGTGTGTGTGTGTGTGTATGTGTGTGTGTGTGTGGTGTATGCGTGTAGAGCAGAGGGTCGGAGTAGAACAAGGCGCACGGGTGACAGCTCGTTCAGTGTTCAGTGTCCCCCGCTGTCCACCGTCACAGTGGTGTCCTAATGTTAGTGCTCGTTCAGACTTGTTGAAGGAGACAACGGTCATGATGACGGTGTGAACACTGGGTGAGATATACCTCCGCTCCGCCACGGACCCTCCTGTTCACACGTCGATCACAGAGCCGTGAATTGCTGGATATCCGCCAGTTCAGCACCTTTGACATCACTGGAGGCCTGGGATGCTGCGCATTCCACGACATACACGAGTCTTGGCGGCACTTTCGTGCCACTCTTCCCCTGTTAACCGTGGAATACCTCCGCTAGAATTCCAATCACCGTTCTGCTCTGCGGATGTGTGACTGTCATGGCTCGCCAACGGTAGTTGTCTAACGCTCACCGACTTAGCTTACTTCGCCGTTTGAAGTAGCTGTCTTCGCTTCAAAGTAACTGCCCATGAGCTCTGAAGTAGTCGATACGTCTAACATGATCGCCGTGTAGCTCTCAGTGTAGTGGTGGATTTCAGCATGACAGTTGTGTCAGGCCGCATGATACCAGTGGTCTCACGCACCATTGAAAACACCTGCAATACTAGTAGGTGAGATTGGCGGAGAAAATATCCCAAAATGCTCATACTGTTTATATACTTGTAGTAGACATATTTTTTCGCTTGGTCATGGGGGTGTACTTTATGGCTATAATTATACGTAGAGTTCAGTGCAGTGTGCAATGGAGTGCTGCGTACAAGACAGGCTATGCTCTGTTCATCACAGTGTTCTACTGCTGTGCTAGAAGCAGTGTGATGTAGTGCCCTGTAGCACACTCTAGCTACATAGTCGTTTACCATGGCTGCTGCTTTGCGGCACTGATAGCGAGGGAATGTACGCTTGCTCTACCGTGTGTTGCAGTCTCTAGTGTAATTCACTGTAGCTTAGCTAGGTACATAGACTATTGCTACGAGAATGTCCAAAGCTCTGCTGTGCAGTCTGTTGTGGACATGTAGTCTAAGGCGGTACATACATGTATACTGCTTCTGTGAGAGAATTATGCCCACTGTTCTACTGTGTAGTGGGTACTGTGCAGTGTGTAGTGTGTAGAGTGTAGTGGGTAGTGTGTAGTGTGTAGTACAGTGGGTAGTGTGTAGATCATGGTGTACAGTACAATGTACTTGTTCTGACCGTCTGAACTGACTTTGGTGTACACCGCCTGTGTAGCCGGCTTGTCAGTTGTCAGTGACTTCCGGCTCCATGCTGTGGTGGTAGTACAGTGGTACAGGGGTACGCTGAGTGGTAGAGTCCTACAGTCCTACAGTGGTACCCAAGTGAAGCCTACTGAAGGGTCAAGAACAGGAGGTGGCCAGAGTGAACAGCCCAGCAGAGCTGCCTTACGTAGTCGGTACACTGTACAAGTGAACCAACTGACAGTGTAGTGACCAGACCAGTACTAGTAGTGTGGCTGGGCTACTGACGTGAACCGGTGAAGGGTCAAGAAGAGGGAGCCCCCCTCCCCGGCTCATGGCCACATGATTGCAGCCTGCATAGCCAATCAGGGCCACGTGTAGTGTAGTGCGGCATACTGTGCAGGCTGGTAAGTGCTTGTTGGACAGCATACCTTGTACAGAAAAGGGCAGTAGCTAGAACTGAGCAGGTAGTTTGCTGATCTGCAATCACTGCCAGTGCTCAGGGGCACTACAGCTCTGGATTGAGCACAACGTCAGTGGCTGTCACTTTGACTTGTACCTCAAACTGTGCTTCTTTGTGTCCCCAGCTTGTGTGCACCGTGAGAGAGAGAGAGAGAGGTTGATAAGAAGCTCAGTAGTCGTGCTTGGTAGTGTGAGATACCAGGGTGCATTGGCACATACTACTCCATTGGAGCTGAGATGCTATCCGGGCTGCCCATGTCATCATCACTTTATATCATCGTCACCTTAAGTCGCCATCACTAAGTTATGCATGTGTGACCTCACTGGCTGAACAGGTCAATCACTGCTAACCATGCCCACTGCCTCCCAGCCATGTGGGATAGACGCGAACAACTTGCGCACGGCACGGTTCATCGAGCGAAGCAAAACTCTGATCAACCACCATGCAATGACTCTCACCACTGACATTCGGTGATAATTATATTGGCAAGGCTCAAGGCTGCCAAGCTGGTCGGTTGCTTTGCAAGGCCTGAGATAATTGGTAGGGAAATGATGGGTTTGCTGTGCAGCGGGAGCCTTGTTTTCCTTGTGTGTGGTTGGAACAGCCCTGTGTAGCGCTGTCATCGATTGTGCTAGCCATCACTGGAGGTGACAGCCAGATGTATTCACTGACAGGTGAAGGAAGACCGGGGGAAGCTGTTGCGCCCGAAGGTTTTGTTTCCGTTGATTGGTGCACAACCTTTGTGTCAAGATGCCATTGCTATGCGTCTAGACTCTTGCGTCTTGACCCATGCCCTGGCCTGTATCACCTCTCATGATATGTCACACATGATTGCCACATGTGACACATCAATAATTACATCAGCCCCCATCCCCATCCCCTCTCTTCCCAATGCAACGTCTGTCTGGACTGGGCATGGGTGAAATTCCCCGGGAGAGCCCGGCATATTGCCCTGGTTAGCATGCGAGCTAATGTGACAGTACAGTATGCCCCAGCCATGCCTCCCTGCCGTGACCTTGCTCCAGTGTCCTGGTTGCTACTCCTGCATGCATACATGTACGTGTGTAGGATGTCAATGTCGCCATGGTCAACTAACCGAACATATCATCAGCACAGGGAACATGCACGTGTGTTAGGAATATGTGTATCACATGTGTGCCGGTGTGTGTGTGTGTGTGCCGGTGTGTGTGTATGTGTGTGTGTGTGTGTGTGTGTGTGTGTGTGTGTGTGTGTGTGTGTGTGTGTGTGTGTGTGTGTGCGTGCGTGCGTGCGTGCTCTTTGGCTCTGACCCTTGCTGAGGCATAGTCCCCATGAAACCCCTCATTGGATGCCAGTCTTTTCTTTAGCCTTTATCTGATCTCACCTCAGCCCCCAGCCCTGCACAGCCCTGCACAGCACATGTACAGTGTGTTAAAGGTATGCATATCTGCTCTGTCCTGTGTCTTATCTGCAGGGTTTCAAGGGAGCTTCACTGAAATTCACCGGCAAACCGGTATGTAACTATTGCTGCTATGACTACCATGTAGGGTCCAGAGTAAAAAGACCCCCCCCCTCCCTCTCTCTCTCTCTCTCTCTCACACACACACACACACACACACACACACACACACACACACACACACACACACACACACACACACACACACACCATTGGACCATTGGACGCCCATCGCCGCAGCGATGATAGCGATGCTACAGCAGAAGCCGTAGCAGCTTGTGCTGGGATTGCACCATTCAACAACTTGCAATGCTGAAGAATTGACCGCCACTATTCAGCCTGGTCTACACCACACAGCTATGAAGTGGCTTTTCTGGCCAGTGAATCCCTACTTTTTGGTCTTTTTTCATTTTTTTTCCGCACACACATCACACCACATACTCCGGCATGCACTGGCTGTTGGTAACCACCCAGGAGAATGAAAGAAAAGTCAGGAGAAGTCTGAGAAAGAGAAGAAAGACGTGTGTGACCATAATCGTCGGGAACACACACACACACACACACAAACACACACACACACACACACACACACACACATGTACACACACGTGTACACACATGTACGTCACGCGTGCACATGCTCGCGTACAGAACATTGCAATTGACAGCACGTGGTATCAGAAATGTATTGATGGGATCAGTGGGTGGGGTGTGTATTCAAGATGTCGTGGAAACACCACTGCATTGCAAGGGATCCACATTGCCCAACGTTGCTCTCGGCTGCAGGCGCAAATGCAAATGTATCTGTTTTCTTCTCTGATTTGCTTCTTTCTGTCCCTGTCGGATATCGTCATCGTTGACCGGACCAGACAAAGTCACCTACGGTAAGCATGCTCGTATTCTTGCTCTCGGCTTCTGTCTCTCTCTCTCTCTCTCTCTCTCTCTCTCTCTCTCTCTCTCTCTCTCTCTCTCTCTCTCTCTCTCTCTCTCTCTCTCTCTCTCACACACACACACACACACACACACACACACACACACACACACACACACACACACACACACACACACACACATACACACACATACACACACACACACACACACACACACACACACACGGTATCAAGACCCTGTTTGGGAAGTACACATGCATGTACGTGTGGTGGCTGGCAACGAACTTTATACAGCGTTCGCTGAAATAGAGTGGTTTCTCGTATGAGATCTTGTAGTGTAACGAGATGAACATTTCTCCAGAGTGATCGACATGATTCATAACTTCTATTGGCCTGTGGTCTCTTTCGTTCCTTTGATATTTCCCCTCTCAGCCAGTTGCATTTGTAGCGTTCGACAGTCGACAGAATGCCGAGGTGGCTAAGGATGAGCTGCAGAATGTACGCTTTGACCCGGACTTCTCACAGACGCTACGGCTAGAGTTTGCGCGTGCAAACACGAAAGTTACGAGGAAGCCGGCAAACCCAAATATGGGCTCGTTATCATCGTGTAAGTGCTGACTGCTGAATACTGACAATTGAAGACATTCTCTCACTGTGTCAGGAATTGTGTGTGTGTGTGTATGTGTGTGCCTGCATGCGCACACAAATGCATGTGTGCACATGTGTACGCGTGTGTGTGTGTGCACATGTGTGTGTATGTGTGTGTGTGTGTATGCATGTGTGTGCATGTGTGCGTGTTCGTGTGTGTGTGTGTGTGTGTGCATGTGTGCGTGTTCGTGTGTGTGTGTGTGCATGTGTGCGTGTTCGTGTGTGTGTGTGTGTGTTCGTGTGTGTGTGTGTGTGAGCGTGTGTGCGTGTCCAGAGGTAGTGTTTACCCCAAGTCAGCTTGCCACAGGTGTGCAAAATCCCATTGTGAAGAGAATATGGCTTAGCAAATTCGGTACAGGCACATGTTTTATTATTTAGCTTAGGGTCTTAGGGCCTTGGTCTTTGGAGGGGGGGGGGGGGGGGGCATTCCTACGCATGCGGAAGACTTGACCTCCAGCCAAGTCTCGAGCGAGCCGTGAATCAGTTGCTAGGGTCTATTCTTTTTGCTGGTCTTCTTGATAGTTGCACTGCGCCTTGAACTGTTAGACCGACAAGCTAAGATCTACATCATGTGCATGCAAGGATGACATCATGTACATGCAAGGATGACATCATGTACATGCAAGGATGACATCATGTACATGCAAGGATGACATCATGTACATGCAAGGATGACATATCCTTTTTCTGTTGTTGGTCCGTGCGTTCTGTTCTGTGCCCAGTTTCTATCCCTGGCCAGTACTACAGCTATAACCCCATGGACAGGCTGCCAGTGTAAGTACTACTCGACTACATATGCAGCTCTGCTCAATGAAAGCTGGGCTCATGAATAATATGAATATGTACTGCGCCGGGTGCACAGTCCAGTGTTCGTACATGAAGGTCTGGGGCTGTGTAAAGCCATGAGCTACCTGACTCGCGATGTCCGGGATTCGATTTCGCGTGCACGAGCACTCTCACAGCCATACACTGGACACACATGGACTTTCGGGCAGAGAGTCTTTCTACAGCATGCACACGGGCTGTATGATGCACGCTGTGTGTAAATGTGTTCTGTGCATGCTCTGGGCTGGGTGTAAATGAATGATTTCCGCAAAAAATCCGTTTACTAGTTTTATTCCCGTGCTGCATTCGCCGAGTGTGACCCATGCGTCGTGCGCGGAGGGTGGGTCACCCGGTGGGGTGGGGGATGGGGAGTCTGACATACATGCATGTATTGATCCGTTCAAGTGCACACTGTCTAAAGGCCAGCTTACTGCACGATGACCAGCGTGTTGAGCACCACAATACCGCATGCAGGAATTGGACCACACATTGAGTTTGTGCTCAGGGCCAGTTTGCACTTGTAGAGTGTCCAGCTAACTTGTTCTGCGATGCCTGTTGGCATGGTTGTTTAGCATGAGTGTCCAGAAGAGTTGTACTGCTCATGGAAACAGCGTCAGTAAAAGTTGCACAACACACATTGTCTGATCGTTGCGTAGTGGTGCACGAAACTCTATGTAACAACACCACAGTATAGGTACACTGGTGCATTGTGCAAGCAGCATTTTTTCCCCAACTTCTTTGTTCTTTGCAGACCCGGATCTGTTCCTTGCTGGACTCTCCCGCCGCTGTCCAATCTAGCGTAAGTCATGGTGGAGAATGTTTGCTCCACGTTCGTGTGTGCTCTAGCTGTTGCACGAGCTGTGATCACACGAAGTCATTGCCGCTGAGAATGTGATGCATGATTCTCCTTGGGATGCTAAAATGTCACATTCAGTGTTGTGGTGTGTGCATAGCGATATCATGCCATGGTACTGTGCACCTGATGATGTATAGTTTGAGCCAAAGATCTCCTGCCCAACTTCACCACTGACCACCAGCATGCAACTGCATGGACAAATGCCCGAATGAGCAACCTTTATGTCATGCTTAGTTGGGTCACAAAGACCCCTCCCCCCCCCCCCCCCCCGTCACACACACACATACACACAAATACCCCCACTGCGACCATCATGCCACCGCATGGAAAAAATGCCCGAATAAGCATCCTTTATGTCATGTATAGTTGGGGTCATAAAGAGCCCCCCAGAAATGCCACCACTACCACCATCATGCAAGCGCATGGAAAAATGCACTATTAATGATGAGCATCCTTTATGTGGACACGCATACAGGTTGATGCTGAGTGCATGTGGAACTAGTAGTTAACTGGACACAGCATGTGCACGTGGTTTACTTTGAAGGAGGGGGGGGGGGTATGCTTTGGCCCGAACAGTCTATAGTTGCCAGAACTAGATTCTACATAATATATACAGCCTTCTACGAAATACCATGACCTTGTGTTATTACATAATTGAAACGTCGAGTCATGAAAAGGATTTTGAGAAACTAGCACTGCTACATGGCCAGGCAGTTGAGATGTGGTGGTTGTTAGCCTGAGGATTCGGAGATTGGTCTAGGGAAGTGTGAGCTGCAGCGTTTCTTTAGATTCAAGTGGCGTGTCCACCAATCCATACTGTTGAAAATGAAACTGCAGCACGTGTCCAACCGATTTATTGTGTTTGTTTAAAACACTAAAAGTATTTAAACACGTTTGTGTCTTTCCCTCAAACTAGTCAAGACTTTTTTCATCCTCTTATTATTGTTTGAACTAGCTCTGCCTTTCAGTATTGAGCACTCTATTGGACAGCCTGGAACCTCTCTGTTCTATTGTCGTTTGTTGTGTAGGCTAAACCCGGCGGCCGCTGCAGCTATCGAGTGGGGACCGGTGAGTCCGTACGCCGCCGGTCCGCAGATGATGCCCAGCTCTCCCACGCAGGCTGCTGGCGGCGGTGGTCCAGGAGGCGCTGGCGCTGGCATGCACCAGCAGTTTGGTGCCAGCACACCGGTGAGCTCGGCTCCCAGCCACCAGCACCAGCACTCCGGTGTAGTAGCTGGGCAGACGTCGCCCGCCGCCACGCCGTGCAACACGCTGTTCGTCGCCAACCTGGGACCCGGCACCAGGGATGAACACCTCGAGGAGGCGTTTTCAAGGTTAGATATCCCCCCCCCCCCTACATGCGCACACACACACACACGCACACACACACACACACACACACACACACACACACACACACACACACACACACACACACGCGCGCTATGCAATGTGGACCTGGTGGTGAACATACAAGTACCCCGTCTGCCAGCTATCTTGCCAGAGCCATGATTGCATGAACGTATTTATAATGTTGTCAGCACAGGTTTCAACTGCTAGAGTACCGGCACATACTGTTGTGGACGTTGAAATCCGTTGAGAAGTCAAGCGGCCACGGTGCGCTGGCCTTGCAGCCGTGAGCACTGCTGGTTCATTTTTACAGTGTGTATGTGAGCTACAGTGTGTGTACGCGCTAAGGTAACATAGTAAGGGCGCTGGGCGTCATTCCACCGGATCCCCTCCCACCCCATCCACAACAGTACATTGTATCTTGGCTGCTTGTTGTCATTTGCCAGCCAATACCCTACCTAATGGGAAGGCGGTGGCAGTGCATGTACTGGTGGCATGCTAATTGTCAAGAGTCTCTTGTTTATAGCGTTTCTCCTGTGTGCATGTGGGGTTGCCTTATCCCCTAGGGCAGTTACTGTGTATGTTCTGTTCTCTGTGGCTTGTACGAGTATTCATTCCTTTGTGTGCTTTTGTTGGTGTGCTTCCATCCGCTGTGTCGACGCTAGGTGTCCTGGGCTGCGGCGCGTTCGTCTGCACACCGGCAAGGGGACCACCGTCAGCTTTGTTGAGTTTGTTGTAAGTATGGCGGCATAGGCAGCATAACGTTAGCATTCTGCAACGGTTAGGCGCAGGCACTGGCTAATGTCGTGCTGTATAAGCAGAACATATTCGTCTGGAATTTAATTTCGTCTTTTTTGTCCAAGGACCATTTGGACTAAATTAAATGCCGGACTAATGTTGATTTGTCCAGCTTTTCAATACACTCTTATGATCCATGGACGAAATTTACAACCGGACGAACTCCCTTTCTTTGGAGTCGGACGAAATTATTCGGTGACCGACGGAATGTTCTGCCTGTACAGTACCCGAAAAAATGTGTTGTAGCCTTTGTACACCCTGTTGTTGCTGCTACTGCTGCTTACTGTACACCAGCACCATATGGCCTTTCACCAGTTCTGCTTCTTCAGAGTGTGTTGTTGTTGTTTGGCTTTATTTAGAGTGGAGTTCCAAAACAGGCCTAAACCTAATGACAATGGTCCCACTGATAATAAGAGAAAAGAAAAATATATAAAAATAAGCGGACAAACAGAACAGAGAAGAAGATAAGTTAGATAACTAATATGAGCACTGCAGCAGGGGAACAAAATGTCACAAGCACGGCAACCGGGAAGAAAGGAGTGAGTGTGAGAGAGAGAGAGAGAGAGAGAGAGAGAGAGAGAGAGAGAGAGAGAGAGAGAGAGAGAGAGAGAGAGAGAGAGAGAGAGAGAGAGAGAGAGAGAGAGAGAGAGAGAGAGAGAGAGAGAGGAGAGAGAGAGAGAGAGAGAGAGAGAGAGAGAGAGAGAGAGAGAGAGAGTGTGTGTGTGTGTGTGGGCAGCCGTTACTGCCTGTAGATGTAGGGTTTGTTGTTGTTCCTGAACCTGTGTTGTTGAGTTGGGTATGTGATGTGTGCTGTGCATCTCATCCTGTGCTTCACTTGGTTTGCCTTGTAGGATCCTCCGCACGCAACTCTTGCCATGAGCGTCATGCGCGGGTAAGTGATTTGCGCGCGTGTGTGTGTGTGTGTATGCGTGTGTGTACACATGTTTGGTTTGTGCACGCATGTTTCTTTTACATAAGCTTTACACTGTTTACAAGCAATTGTAGCCATGTGCCTTCACGTCTCGTCTGTGTAAAGACTTCTCCTGTACGTGTGTGTGCCATGTTCATCACTATCCCATCAACAGATACAAGTTCTCGCCAGAGCACACCGGTATACGGATTGAGTTTGCACGGAACCGGATGGGCAACAGGAATGTAGAGGTGAGGGCAGTTATTACCTCGTTTTATTGTGTGAATTGAGCAGAGTGTGAGCGTGTGTTGAATTGCTCCAGGCGTGCCTTGTACAAATCATGGGGCTTAGTGCCAGTTACAGTGACTGTGTGCTGAAGCCATGTGACAGAATCAATGCACTTTCTCTGCTCCTTGCCCCCCCCCCCCACACACACGCACAACTCTTTGTACTTTGTGTTAGTTCCCATCCCGTGTGGTGTGTTGGTCTACAGCTGCCGTCTCCGCACGCACCCGACGTTTCGGGCATGGGTGTCATGTCGCCGCAGCGCGTCATGCCCGCCTACTCGCAGCCGTACCACGACGTGCCCGTCACCATGGCAACCATGCCGGCCATGCGCACGGCGGAGGGCCATCACCCACCGCCGCTGCACCCACACTCGTAACCATGCCAACGACGCCGGTGCCGCTGCTGGTGTGCAACGGTAGCAGCGGCAGAGGCGATCAGCCCCCGACCTTCCCTCGTCGTCGTACCGAGATGATCGGCCGCAACACTGTGTCTTGGTTCACCGGACGCCGGACCTATTCCCGATCCGGTCGCCCCGGGCAACCTGTCAACTGACCACCTCCTCGTCTAGTGTACTGTTTAGGGTCCACCGCTCCGGCTTGCCGCAACCGCCGCCACCGCTCTCTGTTCTGTGCGCTCTCACGTGCTCAGACGGGTGTGTGTGCGTGCGGGTGCGCGAGTCGGATGAAGCTAGACTTCTAGGCTAGGCATTGGTGTCTGGGAAAAATGAATTGCAAACGTCTCCTGTCATATTCTATTTTTGCAACGCGCATACTCACCTACTGCACGTGTGCATCCACCACCACCGCCCACAGCCATGCATGTGCACACTTGTATCCACCTAACACTCGTATCCACCTAACACTCGCCATACACACACACACACACACACACACACGCCCCGTGTAATACCTATCCATGCAGTCAGTACGTACCAAGCGTTTCATGTATCCGCCCGTGCCATCATGCCATCATATCAGCCGCAATGCCCATACCATTTTCCGTGCCGTGCACTCAGCATAACTGTAGCCATGTTATAATTGCATCGTGTATTACCATTCGTAATTCTTTCCCCTTTTTTTCCCGGTTTTCATTATCACGTTCACGCTCTGCGTCATGCATGTGTAGTTTCCGCATTGCCGCGTTTCCCACCCGTATTCCAGTGCCCGCTGCTGTTTTTCGCGCCCACATACACCCCCACGCGCTCACAATTCCTCCTAGCATAGGCTTATCTCTCTGGGAGTGCTGCGATCTGACGTCGCCAGCGGGATCAGTAACTGAAGCAGCAGAAGCCACAGCAGCAGCAGCAACATTAGTGTGTGTCATAGGCCAGCGATATTGGATTTATCAGCGTTCCCAACAAGACGACATATGACGATACCACATCCTCCATCCTGCTCCTCTCCCTCTCTCCGTCTTGCTCCCTCCGACAGCCATTCCAGTTCAAGGGAAACCTAGTGTTTGCTCTGCGCTGGATCAAGAAGCCAACATACCACCAGCAAAGCAACCGCAGCTTCTATTTATGTGCTATTTTCTCTTTTCCCCCGCGTGTGCCCGTGTCCGACAGTCCGCCCAGAAATGAAAAATACAGAGCTATTATATCTATTTCTGCCCCCCCCCCCATTCCCCCTCCAGCTTTTTTTGCCGGAGCGAGTCATCCGGGCAAGTGCATGTGTGTGTCCCCCCCCCCCCCGCACCACCACACAGAGGGTCAGCCGTAGTTACAAACCATCCGGCGAGTCAGCTGCGGCTAGTTCCGTAATCCTCCAGGCGACATCTCTGATCATGTGTGTGTGTGTGCAATGTGTGCGATGTGTTAGCCGCAACTGTGCGCTGATCTCCCCCTCCCCTCCCGGTTTGTCTGTTTCCTTTCGCTATTCTATGTTTGTGTTTTATTTTTTTGCCATTTCCTAATCTAAATTTTATTTGCTAATTTCTTCAGGCGTAAACGAGACTGGGCGTACAGAACTGGTTGAGTTGGTGAGAGTGACTGAGTTTGAGTCTGGACAATACTATAGCAGGTGCCAAGACCAGAAGGCTGGGCGTGCAGGACTGGTTGAGTTGGCAAGAGTTCGAGTCTGGCATACTACTGTATGACAGGTGCCAAGACTAGAACTTAGAAGACTGCATTGTACAGCTGGCCATGCACTATTGATAGGTATAAGCAAGACCCGGCCGGGGTTATGTACTCTTGGTACAAGCTGGTAGGAGAACTACGCACTTTCATGGTATAATGTATTCGAAATGTGTGGTGGTCCCCCGTGTGTGCAATGCGGTTTCCTGTACAGTCATGCGGACTGGACTGCATCATGAAAAATGAAAAAATGATAAGATTCTGAGAACGAGAACAAGTCGTGACGACAGTACATAAATTATCTGGTGCTGCACACTCGGGGGAGTTCTGTACTCGCGCAGCGACTACCCGGTACTTGTATACAGCCTTCCGTCCTTGTGTTATAGTTATGGTAAGCATGCTGCTACAGTGGATGTTGAGACACAAGTCACCATGGCCATTACATGTACTATTGTAGGGTGAACAAGTCCATTGCTTAGCTTTAGGATGATCGTCGCTACTAACAAGAGACTTAGAGTACAGTCCACTTGATACTAGTATTGAGTGGCTTGTTGGGTGCTGGCAAGTGGAAAGGGAAAACCAGCATAAAGAACACGACACTACCTCTTTCAATCAAAACTCGCATTCAATGCTGACCCTGTGTTCACAACACAGTAAAACCAGTGGAAGTCGACCACTCCTGTACTGACCCTGAACATGAAGTCCCCAGACCCTTTGGTCCTGGATATAGAACAGGTGGCCATCTAAAACTCTTATCAGAGTGGTCCCCTTGACAGGTTTTGCTGTAGTGTTGTACTTCAGCTGCTGTGAATCCACCAGCGTCGGTAGAGAATAGTACAGGCGTTTATCCAAATCTGGTCTGCACAAGTAGAAGGAAATCGCCATGCTGATGATCAGTTCCTTTTCGCATGCAAGGTCAGGTGAAACTTGTTTCAAGCCACAATGTGGGGAACGCCATTCCAGGACATGGTGCTCGAGAAATTCACACACCCCAAACCAGTAAACAGGAGCACTGCACATTGCTGCACAGTACATAGTTATGTAGTCTAGACACCCAGGCCAGGGTGAAACACAGTAGGCTGTAGTACTACACCTTCATAGCACTAAGTGCACCTCCTGGACACAGCAGTGTAACGCACATGCTGCAACCTCACAACATCGCTAAGCACATGGCTTACGTAGTCGAAGAATGTGCGTGCGTGTTGCGAGAGACAGAGATAATAGATAGAGAGAGGGGGGCAGGGAGAGAGAAAGAGAGAGATAGAGGGGGGGGGGGGGGAGAGAGAAAGAGAAAGAGAGAGAGAGAGAGAGAGAGAGAGAGAGAGAGAGAGAGAGAGAGAGAGAGAGAGAGAGAGAGAGAGAGAGAGAGAGAAGACCTGGAGAACCGCGGCTGAATCACCCATTCATCACTCCGATCACTATTCGCACCAAAGCAACATACCGGTAGCATTTCAGTTTTTCAGTGTTTTTGGTCTATTTTCTGTTCTTGCAATAACCTACTTGTAGGATCATTGCAGTCATATGACTTTGTGTGAGTGAGTGAGCAGAACCATTGCTATAATGATGGCCAAGTCAGCAGCACAGCAACAGAGCATGGCTCGTAGAACACAGCGCACGCGCTAGCTAAACCAGAGTTCATACAGAGAGAGAGCGATGACGAAAGAATAGTGTGGTCTTTGTCGCAGTTAGGGCGTTTGGCGCATCACTACTACCGTCAAACATCAGCGCAGGATAAGAAATGAAATGATAAACGAAAACGGCAAAACGAAATTTTATACTGATGAGACGACGGGGCAGTGAAGCGCTCAGCGGTGTGAGTAGGCATTTTAGAAGTGTCTTACGTATTGAATTCTATACGTATATGCCTACCCATAACAGCAGGAAGAGTGAGCCGAAACCGAGGAAGATGGAGGCGACGAACGATACCAGCAGCTCCTTGGACAGGTCGCGGGTCTTTGACGTTGATGTTACTTCATAGCTATAGACGGCAATGGTCAAGGAAAAACTTACAAACTGCAATACAAACACTGAACATATCTAATACTTCAAGGACAATTACCGGGGCGGAAGACATTCTTCGTCGCCACTTAGGCAAGTAATTAGTTGAAGTGTTGATGAAACAAGCTTGCAAAGCCTAAACGCAGATCCATTCTATACCCCAACGGATGTGGAAACAAGCTGGATATTGAGCAGCAAACATACTGTACTGTATGATCGAAATAGCTAGATGCCCGGTGACTGAGTATATTTATATTCTAAATACTTGGACAATCAAACCCTTGAAATGCAGAATAGGAAACTCAGGACTTATTCAAGGGTTGCAGCCAGCCTCTAGCCATTGACAATTGCAAACTTACAAAACCTAAACCAAGAGTACAAAACCAGAATGCGCAACTCCCCGTCTGTGTCGCATAACACCATCACCACGTGGAAGTTTTCGTTCAGGTCATCATGAATCGTAGGATTTATGTCATACCATAGCCAGTACATGTTTTAGGTTGAGGGTCAAATCACCACATCACTAAGGTGATGACCGGGAATTTGCATGTATTTCCGATAGTGGAACGACGAGCAACAATGCACAACAGAAAATACCCTGGTGCAACGGTCGGTCACATGGCCAAATGTCACATGGCCAAATGTAAAGCGGTGTGGGATGGAGCAAAGGTGAGTCAGTCAGTCACTATGACCTACACAAAAACTTCGCTGTGGGTGGGCTCCTTCTCCTGGACTTGCATACTCTGGCATACATACTCTTTCATGAACCTATTCCAAGAAATCGTACACTGACACATCATTTTTCTAAGATACAATAATTATTTTGCACATAATTGCTGTCCAATTTCAATCTCAGTGCAAAAAAAATGATAGAAATTGTTCTCAAGCCATCCACAAACTCTGCATTGACGATAAGTGTATAACGCCCAGCCTAACAATTTTATCTGCAGTATCCTTCCTATACACCGAAATGCCAGCCCGATCAAGTACTCATCCTACGCGTACGTGGAGGATACACAAAGAACCAGGCCATGAAAAACAGTCCAATTCCTAGGAGCAACACCGTCAGCTGCGGAAACAGCGTCGGGTTGATGGGACTGACGTGATCGACATACGGAATGGCCTCCTGCATCAACACATCCATTTACAGTCAATGAACCTCCCGCTTGGAGCACTTCTCGCCATCACCTGAAATACTCACCATTTTCAACAAACTTTCTTTCTCACACGTACACTCAGATTTGTTGCTTGGCCACGTCGTCACAAGCACAAATCCGATGGAGATCCCTCATCCCTGCGCCGCCGTAGCGCAAGCTTTGCAGAGGGCATGCGCAGAGATCAAAGATCATGGTCACGTGCTGAGTAGAGTCATAAAGTTACGATGTAAACAGGGGTTTTCCCAAGTCGTGGGCAGTGCGGAAGGCGACGTGGCGAGCGTGGGCTTTTTTTGAAGTTTTGCTTTTCCTTGTCCCGATCCCATCAGGCATCACCGGTGCACCACTTGTACTGTCTGTTCATCATGATTGTTCACTGTGTCATTCAGGACATTCTTGGGAGTGTTCGTAAACGAAAGGACTGAAAGGAGTATGGCTGCCAGAACCCCTTCAGATAATACTAACGCTTTATTACGTCTTCACGCGCAGAGTTAGATAATTCGTTGGTCTCCTTTCCCCATCGATTAGACCGGTGTGGACAGTAGGACACTGTACGATGAAACGAGAGCTTCCATTGTCTTCATTGGCAGTATTCTGCAGATATTAGACAGATAAATCAGTGTTGCCAGAGAGGCAAAGAGGCCATGGCAGCATCCCCTTGTGTCTGGTTTATCACGGCTCTGCTGCCGTTCGTAGGCTATCTTATAGCTGTTTTCCTACACGCTCCCAAGCAGTTTGATGGCGTGCGACAAATTACGACGCGATACCTCAATTCTGTCGCAGAAAAAAGGTCCGAGCCTAAGTCAAGTGATTTGGCTTCCGTCAGTGATAGAATGAGCCCATTTCTTATGATGCCTGAAGCAGTCGGAGGTAAATTCTTGTTGAATTCACGAGTACTTACACAGGACAAGAAGTTGTATTGTGTTTGTGTGTGTGTATGTGTGTGTGGGTACATGGTGTGTGTGTAGAAGGTCTCTCTCTCTCTCTCTCTCTCTCTCTCTCTCTCTCTCTCTCTCTCTCTCTCTCTCTCTCTCTCTCTCTCTCTCTCTCTCTCTCTCTCTCTCTCTCTCTCTCACACACACACACACACACACACACACGCACCATGTACCATGTGTACGCCCGTCGCAAGAGAAGCACGCAAATCTGCAAATGCACTGGATGTGCACCCCCCCCCCCCCCTACACACACACACACGCGCGTGCAAGCGTGTGCGCACACACGCACGCATGAAGCTACTGCATGTGAGGTAGTTGTAGCATGTATGGAAACGACATGAGGGCATAGCACTCAAATGGTATGTGTCTTTACCCCGGATTTAGAAATTTTGTGGTCCAGGATCTACGCAACATGCTATTGTGATTGTGATTGAGCCAAAGGCCCAGACTAAAGACATATTGAGTTGGTCCTGCCCTTGTGGAACGAATACCGCGGGAGAGAAACCCACATGTCCGCTTCCACGTTCCTATGTTGTATCCCCAGCTGTGGTGACCACCTGCTACGCGCATAGAAGAAATTATCTCTATGCCATGTTACTCTCTCTCTCTCTCTCTCTCTCTCTCTCTCTCTCTCTCTCTCTCTCTCTCTCTCCCTGCCTCTCTGAGAGAGCAGGTCATCATCAATAGATACAGAAGTAAGCCGGGTGTTTGTGTGACCCTAGCTTGGCCACCCTAATGGGATATCACAGTACGTGTACTGCCTTGCTGCTGCATTGGCATGTGTTTCCGAATATTGTGATTCCTTTCTGTGCATTGATGATCTGCCGTTCAGACTGGAAGTTTCATTCACGGCGGAAAGAAGCTCCTCCCGACCCATTCCCAGGTAAGTAGGTCCGTTTCTAAAATAGCAGCAAGGCCGTCATTTATTTATTTGTATTACCAGCAGCAGGCGAATAAAAGTATAGGTTGCCAGTTTGCCGGAATCGGTAGAAAACCGGCTTGAAAGTACTGGCGTGAAAACTAGGCGTTCCTTTTCGAATACACGCAGTATGTCGAATGAAATTGGCTTCTTGCTGAGGCATGTGACTTGTTGAGACGAGCGGCCTGGATCTGGGTGGGTGTGACTGTCCAAGCCACTGGGCCTGGATCTGGGTGGGTGTGACTGTCCAAGCCACTGGGCCTGGATCTGGGTGGGTGTGACTGTCCAAGCCACTGGGCCTGGATCTGGGTGGGTGTGACTGTCCAAGCCACTGGGCCTGGATCTGGGTGGGTGTGACTGTCCAAGCCACTGGATCACAAGCGGTCCAACTCGGCGAATATACATGTACTGCACAGTCACCACCGGGGCCGGGGGGGGGGGGGGGGGGATGCACGCAGTGGGCTGGCAGTGCTCAATACCCGGAGGCAGAGCGTAATACAGAACAGCAAGGGCAATCGAGGCGAGAGCATGACACGTTTAAGTTGCAGCAAACAAGCCTTGATTGCCCTTGTTGTCCTGTACTGTACGGTCATGTTTACTGCCGTGGGTTTGCTGGCAGTGCGTCTGCACAATCTCATCACTGGCGAGGCTCACACACTTAACACCTGGCAAGATTTCTCGTCAGTTGACGGCGAGACGCAGCCTCCCAGGCAGGGTGTGGACGTTTGACATCTACATTCGTAGAAGCATAGCGACCCATCTTTGTTTCTCGCCCGGGAAAGGACTATTTTTGCATCACGGTATAATACTGCAATGCCGAACTGCACAGTAGTAGCTGTGTGCACGTGTACTATATTTCACACTCTGAAAATCTGAATCAGAGTTTCTGTTACAGTACAGTGAAAGCTGTCTCAGACGACTGCTCAAGGGACTTTCAAAATGTGGTCTCTGTTACCAGGTGGTCGCCTTATCCAGGGTCAATTGACTGGAAATAGTATCCCTTGGTCCTGGTTGCAGTGGTCTTCTGGGACAGGTGGCCACCTTATCCGAGTGGTTGCCTTGACAGGTTTCACTGTACTTTTGATATTTGTTTTGTCACGTACCTTTGTCCATCTCACTTGTCTCTATTCATGTCCCATGAATTAATTTTCATTTCGATCCCATGGCAGCCGCTGCGCAGCTTCAGTACCTGTTGGCCTTCTTAAGAAATCTCCGTTGTCTCTCCCCCTCCTTGCCTGTAGTTGCCATGGAGACCGAAGCGCAGGTTGCCCTGCGCCAGGCCAAGAGCATGTACGAGAGTGGACGCACCGAGAAAGCCCAGCGTCTCTTCCAGCGCGCGCTGCAGTTCTCGCCTCGCTCGGCCGATGCCCTCAGTGCGTACGGCGAGTTTCTGCACCGCGAGAAGGAACCGCTGGAGGCAGAGAAGCTGTTGGCCAAGGCGTTGCAGGTACGTGTAAATGTCCGAAAATTTAGGTGCTCAAAATGTTCCGCATGCTGGCAAGGGGCCAGGTTACTAGGTGAACAGAACATTTAGGTGCAGGGAAGCACTCCCCTATTGGATTATGTGTAGGGTATCAGTGTTTGTGTGGCTATTGAAATTATGGGTACGAAAGAGATGCACCGAAAGTAGCGAAATGTTGTGAAATTGCAGCATTTCTTTTCTTTTCCTGGGCTGTATGATAGACTGTCCAGTGCAGCAGGACTGTATGGTTTGCGAAAAAAAAGTCAAAATATAAACTGGACAGTTCACGTGTGCATACAACTCAGGATCATAGTGATCATTTTATCATACAGTAAAACCTGTCAAGGCGACCACTCGGAAAGGCGACCACCTGTTAAAGAAGACCACTGGAACCATGACCAAGGGATGCTATTTCCAGTCAATTGACTCTGGATAAGGAGACCACCTGGTAACAGAGACCACATTTTGAAGATCCCTTGAGCAGTCGCCTTCGACAGGTTTTTCACTGTACTGACGGTAGCTTGCTAGTACTGCATTACTGTACAAGCAGAAATATTCGTCTGGATTTTTAATTTCGTCTTTTTCGTCCAAGGAGGTTTTGGACTAAATTAAACACTCTTATGATCCATGGACGAAATTTACAACCAGACGAACTCCCTTTCTTAGGAGTTGGACGAAATTATTGACCGACGAAATTTTCTGCCTCTACAGTACCTCATGCTGCACACGTACTGGTCACTGATCACACATGGGTGCGTGTTCTGGTTGTTGTGCAGGTACGTCCTGACCATCCGGACGCACGGCGTATCCTGAACATGAACTCGGCCGTCGTGGAGGACATCGACCGCGCGCTGTTCGTCGCCGTCGACGCTAAGCGCAACTCGCTGCTGAAGGTGCCGCACGACGACCCGGCCTTCATCCGCGCCGTCCGCGAGAACTACGTGCGCCATGTTTACCATAGCAACGCCATCGAGGGCAACACGCTGACGCTGAGCATGGTGCGCTCCATACTGGAGACGGGGCTGGCGGTGGCCGGCAAGAGTATACGCGAGCACAACGACGTGCTCGGCCTGGACTTGGCACTAACGTAAGACAACATGTCACTTGCAACACAGGGTGTGTAGCGTGTACGGTAGTTGTTTTCGGTTTGGTCTGTTGTTGTGCTTGTTTTAGGGAACACAGCCCCATGCTGTGTTATCAGTCATGTTGAGTGTTGGGTGTTGCGTTGGGAGACATGAATGATTACGAAATCCCTTCCATTAAGTGCAAATTCGAAGGGTTCTTTGCTTCGGCGACCGAGCTGTTTCGGGGTATGCAAACAGCTGGTATTAGTATTGTGATTGATCGCAGGCGACAAGTAATGTCCTATCGAGAACTGAATAAAATCCGTCTCAAAACCCCGTGGGTCTTGCGTCACGGGTGAATTTGCTCGAAGTGACTGCAGTAGAGTTACGCGTACATGTATGTGTACCGAACACCCTTCTGGGATGCTGGATACTGTGTGGATAGTGCATGTATGTAGTGTTGATTTGCCAGTGTCTGCTGCTTTCCGTTTGCTCTCATGTCCACTTTTGGTCTGAGAGCAGATACGCTGTGACAACGTGTGCTCGTTGTTATGTTTTGGAAGCTTTTTTCTTGCGACCTGCAGGCGTCGTGTTTATCGTCTTGTCTTGCTCTTGTCTCCTGTGCAGTTTTGTCCACCAGTCCACGCTGAAGCGGCTTGAGCTCACCGTGGAGGATGTCATTGAGCTCCACCAGCGTATCATGGGCCACTCTCAACCGCTGGATGCCGGCAAGTTCAGAGACACCCAGGTCAGTGGACTCGCTGCGCATGCTGTTTTGTGCTGTGGTTGCCTTCTTTTTTTCATATTGGTTCCACTCTCCACACACTTAACATTCCATGCACACGCTCTCCACAAGAATACTTGTACTTTGAAGTACTCAAAGTACACTCGGACATCTCTTATCCGGGCACCTTGGGACCGGGCACTGCCCGCATCTCAGGATAACTCATCTACCATGTATCATCTCATTTTTGAAGAAGTTTTTTTGGCACGTATTGCACATGTTCAGGTTACAGAAGGAATCCACTGATAAAAAATGTGTGGATTAGGCCAAGTAAAAAAAAAGCTAGATGATCGTCCCCGTCCGCCCCAGTTTTTGTCAGCGCCCCAAGAAATATTTTATTTTTTAAATCGTGAGTTTTTGCCGAAATCGTTGGTTTTTTACCGATCGCGGATGCAGGAAACATGTGCACGCTTTGTTTAATACTTTCTTTACTATATGGACCACATACTACTAGTATATCACAACGTCAGTATCGATCTGCTGAAGAAAGAAAAAGAAAAAAAGAAAAAAAAGAAAAAAAGAGAAAAAAAACCTTGATGTTGTTGTGTACACTGTGTGCATGAGAGGGTAAAAAGTAAAAAAATAAAAATAAAATCCTCCCGCCCTCCCCGATTTTTCCAAAAAAAAGGACGATCATCTAGTAATTTTTTTTACTCGGCCTTATACAGGTTGGCAGTGACAAATAAGCACTTAAATTGTACCCGTGCATACGAAAAAAAAAGTTCAAACCCCCAAATTCAAAGCATTTTTGCCATAGGAACTCAAGCTGAAGGTGCCCGGTAGAGAGACGTGCCCGTATCTGAGGCATCCGGATAAGAGACGGTTGAGTGTACTCATCTTTTTTTCTCATCTTGGTTCCCCTCTCCACACTCCCCATGCCATTATACACACACTCTTCATAAGCCCAGTCATGTGGCAAGGATGTGTGATACCTAGTTTATCTGGGCGGTCCCGGACCGGGCACTGCCTGTAACTTTGAAATGTCCGTGACTCCGAAATACATTTATTTTGATGGGGAAAGGCCACAGATATGGCATGTGATGTCACTATTTCCGCTAGCCTTAAACAAAAAAAGTAGTAATATTTCGGATTATTTCCACTAAAACTCACCCATCTCACCCATAACTTTGGTATCCGGCTACCTGGCGTATGAGTGTAACCCAAGAAGTAGCTCCATGCCTGCTGCTGTATCATGCAGCTGCTCCGCTGGCTTGTTATGTGTAGCCCAAGAAGTAGCTCCATGGCTGGTGCTGTATCATGCAGCTGCTCCGCTGGCTTGTTATGCTCCGGTGTGTAACATTACGGCTGTCTGTGACACCATCCTGTCTCCATGCATAACTTTCGTAATCATCTGTAACCTGCTGTGATGCTCCTCGCGTCCAGTGTTAAGTGTTGTGCAGCAATGCACCACTTGCACTTTGGTCTCGGTACTTCATATGACTTCTGATGGATATTGTATGGTGCTGACTCCTTGCAGGTGCTGGCTCCCAGACCATCCTGCTTTTGTAGGATCTAGTTGTATGCTTCCTTATTCCAAGTCAATCGTTTCGCCCCTCTCTCTCTCTCTCTCTCTCTCTCTCTCTCTCTCTCTCTCTCTCTCTCTCTCTCTCTCTCTCTCTCTCTCTCTCTCTCTCTCTCTCTCTCGCCCCCCCCCCCCCTCTCTCTCTCTCTCTCTCTCTCTCTCTCTCTCTCTCTCTCGCCCCCCCCCCTCTCTCTCTCTCTCTCTCTCTCTCTCTCTCTCTCTTTCTCTCGCTCGCAGGTGTTCGTCTCCAAGCATGTACCGCCATCTCCGAGACATCTTCCTGACCTGATGGACAAGTTTGGTCAGTGGCTGGTCTCAGCGGAGGCTGCAGCAATGCACCCTATAGCCCGCGCTGCCATGGATCACTTCAAGCTGGTGCACATTCACCCGTTTGTGGACGGCAACGGTCGCCTATCTCGTCTGCTCATGAACATTCGACTCATGCAGGTAAGCGCTGGGGTGTTGGCCAAATCAACACACTACAATTAGGGCTGAGTCGGGTAGCATTTTTTCGGGTACCGGGTTCGGGTTGTTTTCCACGGGTAGCACGGGTACCCGATCGGGTAATGTTTCCATGATAACACCACAATGCACCCCTTCCCTTACACACTGGGTGGACATGCAGAGTATTACATGAATTTGTACACGTGCACTGTACATGATGTCATCTGCGACTTCGGGTGTTCGGGTTCTATTCTGTACCCGTGCTACCCGAGGTCCTCACGGGTAGCACGGGCACCCGACTACCCGTGCACACCACTAAGTACAATATTGTCTGTACCGTAAAGTGGCGTCCACTAAACTCTCTATCAAGTCGTCGTGTTGCGTGATGATGGCTGCAGCACTCGTGCCTTTCATCGCTCTTATTGTCCGCAAGCGAAGATCCCTGGTTCGAGTGACAGTCAATTTTTTCTTCAGTCTTTCCCCGTTTGCATCTTTCCCCTCAAACCCATGACTATCTTGTTGTATTGTTTCCCTTTGTGTTGTTTCCGTCTAGGGCGGCTACCCACCTATTATTGTACCCGTTCAGGAGCGCTACACCTACTACGAGATGCTCTCACTCGCGGACGGTGGAGACCCGCGGCCGTTCATCCGCTACGTGGCGAACCTGACGGACCGCACTCTCGAAGAGTACCTGCTATTCACGCAGAAACAGATCGTGGAGACCGCTGTTCCCGTGGTGGATGCTGAGCCGGTTGCAGCCGACCCCACTGCGACGGCTCAATCGGCGGAAGAGCCCGATGCCGATGTGCATGATCAGATCCATCATAAATTTCATCCTTGAGTGAGTGCTGCGCGTTGAATTCTACTTTCTGTGGCCTTGAGGGAGCGTTGATAATTATTCAGCAATATATCTGTTTATTCGCAGTCATGCTCTGCTTGTGGTCGTGTTTTGTGTTATCTATCCTGTATACTTTTTGAGAGAGAGGTGTTTGTGTGGGTATGTGGGTGTGCATCATCTTAAATTATTCTGACTTTTCTAGACCGAATTAGGTACCCCTGCTGGTCAGGTGTGAGTTATATATTTTTTGTGTGTCTGAAGTATTTTTTTATCTATCTAATCTCTCGACATGACAATGAAGTACCGAGTGAGTGATAAAACTTACACGAGAAATACCGGTACGGTGTGTGTGTGTGTGTGTGTGTATGCTTCAGCCTTGCAAGCTGTTGAAAGGTGCAATCCCAGCACAAGTTGCTATGACTTCTGCCGTAGCATTGCTATCATCGCCTCCGGCGATGGGCGTCAAAGGTGTGTGTGTGTGGTGTGTGTGTTGGCCCTCCAATGTTACTCTGTGTTGCTTGAAGGTGGATATGCAGGCATGAATTCTAAGCACAGGGAGAAAGCTGTTCTTTATATTGTGGTGGCACTGATGGAAGAGGTGCTGCTGCTGATGGTTGTGCTATGACATAGGTCATCATCAGATAGGCACTTGCTTCCTCCTGTGTGGCCGGTAGATCATATTTTAATTTAATATTCCGAGCCCCAATTTGTCTCTACGGAAATGCATGGTGAATGGTGCATGAAATTGAACGCACGCTTTCCGACTGTACATGTAGTTCCACTCAGCTGCAAGGACTGCGATCAAGCTCAGTGTATTGGCCACACGGTACATGTACAGTAGTTGTATTCAGCCTTTGAGCAGCAGGGACATGCAGCCCACCTGTATGTGCTGTGCCTGCGACCACCGTGATTGATATACCCGTCACGTGGAATAAGACACTGGCGGGCAGACAGCGCATATCCAAAGCATTCATTGCCAAGAACACACATACCGTATATTCTCTATTATAAGCACATGTCTCCATTACTAGCACAGTCTCTAATACTAGCACACTGTGAGCACCTTTCGAAACATTATAAGCACAGTCTCTATTATAAGCACGGTCTTGGTGGAAATCAATGCTGCATGCATGATATCTAGCATGTATTTCTTCTTGCTCTGTATGGATGTATTGGTTGAAAAAATATAAGCGCAGTCTCCAATATAAGCGCGGTCTCCAATATAAGCACGGGGTAGAGGGGTGTTAAAAAAATATATAAGCACGGCGCTTATAATAGAGAATATACGGTACATGCACCAAGGAGTAGTAAAATACCAGTATTTTACTACTCCCTGCACACACACACACATCGAAGGACAAAGAGCCCCAGGGATGCCGGTGACGGATCCGGTGCTCGAGACCGGTGACGCAGACGCGCAGTGCATCCAAGAGGCAAGGTCATGCCACTTCCTGCATCTTCATGGCTTCGGGAAAAGGAGTCGTGTGACAATGGGTGTAGAGCTGAATATTTCATGGTCGCAGCTATTCCGCATGACCATTTTCTCCGGAAGCAGCAATCACCAGTTTGCCCCCCCCCCCCCACACACACACGGTGACACACACACGCACACAGGTGCAACATTGCCAACTTGACAAAGCCAGTGAACCAACAATTTGTCTTGAAATTCTGCTCCGCAAAGCGAGCATAGCCAAGCTAGATGCGTCATGAAAAGGCTCTAAACGGTACGTAAGCAATGAGCCTCGCACAACTAAAATCCATAGAGATGTCTCGACCTCCTGCTTCCAAGACCAGCTTGAGTGATGTGCAGGGTTAAATATAAAAATGATAAAATATAATGATGCACAGTGGCTTTGGTACCTACAGGCGAAGTTTGCCAGTGGCCAGATTCCAGTGCCAAGCAGGAAGGCAACAGGGGTGGAAAGGCATGGAAGAAGCAGGACGCGCCCGCATGCCGCAGAAGAAGGCTATGCGAGTATGTCTAGAGTGCGCATCCTAGGCCATTGCACCAAGCGTACAAACGGGCTCAGTCGGCTGCCTGAGCATACACTTGGCTGCGTGATGGTAAAACATCTGGACTGTCGGTAGCAGCACGACGTCGGTCGTCTGCTAGGTACATTGTGAGAGAAATGAATGCAAGAGAGATGTGCGAGTGGTGACGCGTAGAGAAGACAGGACTCGTAAAAAATCTCAAAACGGGTAACTGGCTGGGAGACCGGACGCACGACGGCGTGCCAGAAATAAGATGATTCTCAAGGGAGTAACTAGGTGTAGGGGTTGGCGAGGGCGAGGGCAGGTGGTGTTGGGCTCTGAGGCATCCACACAACGCCCACATTCTTTGTGGATGAGTAGACAAAATAGCAACAAGCCACCGGAAGTTTATAAACCCGACGGTGATAGCATTTTCTGATTCGACTAAGGTAATTTGAACATTTGGCGTTTGGACTCGCCAATCACTGTTGATGTAGTACTGGTGGACATCAACCAGGGATAGGCTAAAACAGTGACCTGCACCCGAGTAATAACATGGCCTATTGGCTTGCGTACACACTGGGTGCTCTTGTGCGACGCAGAGAGCCACGGGGGGCGAACAGCACCTCTAGCAGCATTTGCTCTCTCCGGATTCGCCGTCGGTTTCGTCCCTGCCGGCACCTCCGGCTAACGCCAGCGCACCACCGTCAGCGTTGCTGCCTCTCCGGCTGTCCGTTTCCGATTCGTCGCCAGCGCCGGCCGCTCCGGGCACAAAGCGCTCTGGGTGGGCTCGCCGCTCGCACTCGATCAGGTCCAGCGCCACTTGAAGGAAAGCCTCATGGACACCTACAGCAATGCAAAGCGATGCATGCACAACGCACACGGTTTATCAAAAAGCTTCTTGCCGACAAAAGGAGAACGGTCCCAGAAATGGGTCTGCATTTGTTCGGACACACACCATGCAGTCCGACAGCCATTTAATGGATGGCCATTGAATTGCCTTTTGACCGGGATCTATTACTACAGTCCATTTCAAAACTATAGACGCGTAGTGTTTTTGAAATATTTCAAATTTGGCTGGAACTTTTTGAGAATAGTTTTCGGAATATTGCTCAGGTCCGCTCCACAATTACTCTCATAATAGTTTCTAAACGATTGGATAACAGACGCCCAATTTGGAAAAATTTATGCACAAAGTGATCACAGATTTTATGTGGTATAGATGCTGGCATAACGGTTTTTGCCTAGGTACGCGTCTATAGTTTTGAAATGGACTGTAGTAGGTTGCTAGCTACTGTTCCAGGTCCCATGTCCTTTGTTCTGTACTAGGAGAATAGTAACAATTGCTAGAATTTCCAGCGTTAGTAAAACTGAGGTCAGATCAGCTCCAGAAGATTTTGATGACCCTATTTTGTTGAAGTCCAACTCACAGATATTGCCCAGAGCTGACGTTTCAAAGAATGATGCATCGATAGAGTTGGCGTACTCTTGTCCGGCACGCTTGGTGACTACACGTCGGTCTTCCAGGTCCACTTTATTGCCAATCAGACAGAGAACTGCAGGGAACAAATAGTACACAGGTCGAACAGCAGTGTTAGACGGGAAGCAGATAAGTAGATACGTAGAGCCAATACACGCACACACACACGCACACACACACACACACCTCTCCTGTCCTGTTGTCCTGTTGACCCACTGCCGTACAGGTTACGTGGTCCCATTGCGGGAGGAGGGAGAGGAGCACACACACACACACACACACACACACACACACACACACACACACACACACCTGTCCTGTAGAGTCACTGCCGCAAAAGGGTCACGTGATCCCATCACTGGGAAACTTGAGAAGAGAGAGAGAGAGGACACGACGCTCGATGACGCTCCAGGTGCACGGGTAGTCGCATCAGCTTGCCGCATATGCACACGTGCTGGAAGGCTGAGCGCTCCTCTGCTGTTGGTCATGCGCCACCCTTGAACAGCGATGCCTTCCCCGTCCCCGGACACGGCGAAAGCAGCGACCACACCTGTCACAATGCGCGGCCGACGTTCCGGTAGTTCCAGGTGGCACTGCGGCATCCACCATTGAGGCACACACATGCCGGACCAAGCCACCGCGGCTTCTCAGCCACCGCCCACACCGCTCGCACTGACTGGCGCCCCGCTGCTCAGACACAGGCCGCGCACGCTCCTCCAGACACTTATGCCGAGCCATGTCTCCTTTCCGTGAAAATCCCGTCCGTACCACTCGGGGCGGCACATACACACACACACACACCTTGAACGCCCATTGCCGTAGCAATGATAGCGATGGCTTCCTCACGCTGAGGCTCTAAACCCGGAATCTGCAGTATGGCGCATGCCACTTGAGGTCACCAGGACGACGAAACACTCTGTCACAGTGGTAGTTGGGGCACGGGATGTCTGGGGCTTCCTTCTCGACCCTCTGTCGACAACACTGAGACCAGGCAGATCTCTCCTGCGCTGTGTCATACCAGTCTGCTTCAGACAAACCGATGACAGTAAAGTCCGAGGACACAACATCCCACCAGCGCTTCTTGGGACCATGTTGCGGGCGTTTACAGGGCAGTTCGCCGAACAGCATCTGCTTGGGCAGCCGGGTCTCCTTCATCCGTGCAACATGACCAAGCCACCGCAAGCGGTGTTTCCTGATCACATCGGCCATGTCGACGTCCACCCCTGCCAGCTCACTCAGCGATTCCGACGACAATCTCTCCTCCCATTGCTCACGACGAGAGATACCGAGAATTGTGCGAATACACTGATGGGGAAAGGTGTTGAGTCGGCGAATATGACCCGCTTTGATGGGCCATGTCTCCGCACCGTCGAGAAGAGCAGGAAGGACAATAGCACGATACACCAGCCGCTTGGTGTGGACCGAGAGATGCACGCACTGAAATATCGGAGACCTGATCACACCGTACAGCCGGGACGCCTGCGCCAAACGAGCAGCGAGGTCTGCATCCACCGTTCCGTCAGCAGAGAGCACGCTGCCAAGGCACCGGAACCCGTCCACCATGTCAATCCTGCTGTCACCATCGAGTTGAACGGGATCAACTGATGTTGGTTGACCCACCGCCATGCCCTTTGTCTTTCTAATGCTGACGGTCAGTCCCCATCGCTGTGCACACAAGATGAACTCGGACGTCATGCACTCAAATCTCTCTCTGGTGGTTGCATACAACGCTGCATCATCGGCGAACTGGGACTCAGTCACCCTCGTCGCACACACACACACACACACACAAAGCCCTCCCCCCCCCCCCCTCTCCCAAAAAAAACATCACGATGCGTAGCGTCTGTGATCACAATCAGCAGCTCCGGCAGCCACACTACACATCTACATGATTCTGAACTAGAATACTGTCGGACGCCGAAGAACGGAGCGCCGAAGAACGACCAGGCTAGAATTTCATCAAGCACAGCATACCAATGTAAACAGGGTGACTCAACTGCGCATAGACTGTAGTACATGAAAATAAGAACGGTCTAGGCTAGGAGGCTGACCCCCAGTTCTTCGGCAACCGACAGTACTGAATGCAACTACATTGTACCAAGTACTAGTAGACCGTTTCACAATCCCTTCCCAGCTGCAAGCAAATAGAAGAGTGACAAAAGAGATGCCACATATCATTCGACTTACCCATTTTGTAGTCAACATTCTGTCGCAGTTCTGCACAAAGACAACACAGGGATTGCACAAGTAGACACACTGGTAAGTTGAGCAGGCAAGCAGCGCAGAGTTACGTCTCATGAACGCAAGCACAGGACTGTCTTGCTACTCCATACAAAAGCTAGCACTGAGTTGCCAGGTCACACAAACTTCACTGATTTGCCAGTCCACACAAACTACACTGATTTGCCAGTCCACACAAACTTCACTGATTTGCCAGTCCACACAAACTTCACTGATTTGCCAGTCCACACAAACTACACTGATTTGCCAGTCCACACAAACTTCACTGATTTGCCAGTCCACACAAACTTCACTGATTCGCCAGTCCACACAAACTTCACTGATTCGCCAATACATACAAACCACACCGATCTTCCAATCCATACAATGCATACACGATAACCTCATTCCCAGAACCACTACAGCTCACTGTGCCGTGAACACAATCTCCAAGTACCTGCCTACTCAAGACTCCTACTCAGACTCACCCGCAACCCAGCTGGCGACCGCCTCGAACGTGTCCGCAGCGGTGATGTCATAGACGATTAGGGCGGCGTTGGCGTTCCGATAGTACATGGGTGCCTGGTCGGGCAGCACAACAACACACACACACACACACACACACACACACACACAAACACACATGCACATACCGTATGTCTTAACCCTTTAACCGTCATATAAATTTCACCCATTGAAACGCCGAACGAAATTTCAACTTTGCCAGGTCATAACTTTAGTTGTACTCACTCGATTTTTATAATCTTGGGGTCGTTGGAAAGCTCTGGACGAGACCAGCACGATGATAACACATTCTTCGCCTCAGCAGTCACACAACCAGCGCTGGAACGCAGCGACGTCGTCTCAACGCCAGGCATGCAAATGACAAGTTCAAAACTCCGCCATGGCCGTCTCCTTCATCGTAGAGTGTTCAAATTTTTTTTGAGAGATCGAGCATTTCGTGAGGAATACGTTGGTCGCGAGCAGCAGTCACAGAGCGCGTGAAGAAACGGGGAAATCCCGTGACGACGTCAGCCGCGCGCCCAGCGCAGCGGAAGTGACAAGCGCGTGCAGTACTCAGCGCTTGATAACTCTGCTCCACTACATCGTAGCTCAACGCGGATTTCTGCAACAGAAAGCCTGGAAAATTCGCTACCGAATCGATAGTAAATTTTCTATCGTGGGTAAAAAATCATTCCAGTGCGAGTATTTCAAATGATGGGTCGAATTCGACCCACAAATGTATGGTCTGACGGTTAAAGGGTTAAACAACCACTACCAAAGGCGACACCAAGAAGTCATACGTTCTATACTTCTTTCTGTTGTTCCATGGTTGGCTCTCATCCTTCCTCTCAACCCAATATGCCGGGAATACACCACTCAACAGGTGCAAGTGTGGTACAATCCAGCACCATTAACATTTTTTTAAACCCACTGCGGCCGAATACAACCATAAAGGTTAACCGAAAGAGTGCTCAATGCCCGGGGGGAGAGCTACTTAAAACAAGTAGAAGAGGACGGAAATCTGTTGCCAACGAATTTTTTATCCTCTTCTACTTGTCGCAAACATAAAGTTTATAAACGGCACACAAACCCCAAAATGAACGCGTCCAGCCACCAAAAAAAAGACCAACAGTTCACTCAATCTCGATTTCTCAACATGGGTCTGAATACAGAAACCTTGCACTAAACCATGAGCACTTTGAAGAACACTCAGCTCAGCCAGACTCACCATAGAACGAAATCTGGGTTTTCAGGTCCACCAGAGTCGGCCAGGGCAATGTTTGGAAACAGACGATAATTACAACACACATGCATGCGCGCACGCACACAGAAATAGACATGCCCGCGCACACGCACACACACACACACACACACACAAAGTACACAGATGAGCCAGTAGCTACACAAACACTTAGAGGGGATGAACAGGTCCAGGTTCAATGCGAAGCTATGACTGGCACCAAGAGTCCATACCAGGACCATAAACAAGAGTATGCAACTGTGATCTCTTTTCTATGGGCCAGATGTGCGGCGCGCTGCCTTCATTACATCATTCAGCTGCAGTCTGCGCACTGCGGAAAATCAAACACCGCACTTTCCCTCTGGTTTAAAATGAACTTTCGTACGGAACTGGAGTTAACGCTCCAAAATTTAGAGATCGCGTAGGTACTGGAAAGAATCGAGCAAAAACGGATGGGAGAAATTGTGAGTTTAAGTGCATGCTTCCAGAGCGTGATGAAGGCAAGTTACGTAATGAAGGCAGCGTGCCGCGCACTGGCCCATAACCACAGTTGCATACTCTTGTTTATGCACTCTTGCTGGCACACGCCAACATAACATGAAACATCCGTAAAACAGGAATAACTGCTGGGAAGAGCTACATGTACAATGAATCATGTACATAGAGCTCGCCACGATTTTCAAAACTTGACTCCGATTTTGTTACAGAACTTGACTGTAGCACTACAGATAATATGATTGTAGGTAAGAGGACATGCAGGGAGGGTGTAGAGGATATTTTATCGTGCTCACCTCTCCTGCCCCGCAGTGTCCCAAAGCTGAAGCTTGACTCGATCAACATCCACAGTCCTGAGCATCCAAGGGTCACACAAATGCATGCACATACGCACCGTAAACACACAGTCGTCACCAAAAACAATCCGGCCAATGTTGCCATGGTGATGGTGTAACACATGCACTGCCACTGCACTACGTACATAGCTGCATACTGTATTTAAAGTCAACAAATATTCGGCTATTTTCGGCCTGGTCTTGTTTGGCTGAAAATGTGATGCGGCCGAAATTTAGTTTTGCAAGGTTCAGCGTGACAGTGTATACAGGCGGCAGCAGTACAGGCCGAAAATTTGATGCGGCCGAAATTTGAATGACACGAAAATTTGTAGTCTCACAGTAGTCAGTGCAGTGTTGGTAGATCTACAGGAAACACTGGTAAACCCATGCATGCTACCATGTGGCACCGCCGTGCCCGCGTACCATACCACTGTATGGGCACTGGCCGGATTTTTTGGCGACGATCGTATAATGGCCACACAGAAAGTGTACAAGGTCGACACTGGCATACGCCCCTTGAAAGGTAACAGTGCCCTGCTTTACTGCTGTGTGCTGAGGGCTTGTGCAGCTGTCCTATGTCTAGACCGGCAGACTACAGCTACGAATAGACTACTTACTGGTCGCCATTACATGTACTAGTTTCTCATGGCCAGTTCTGTATACCCCCCCCCCCCCCACACACACACACACATACACACATACGCACACACCTTCCTTCCTTCCTTCTTCTACGCCCATGACTGGCTATGTGGCCCCGTAAGGGGCAGACCAGAAGGTGTGCTGTGCACCGGGTGGGGAATGTGAGACTCAGCATGCACGCGGGCTGCGCAAACAGCGTTACACTTGTGCCTCGCAATACACACCACACGCACCACACGCACCACACACACACACACACACACACACACACACACACACACACACACACACACACACACACACACACACACACACACACACACATACACACAAACACAGAGGTCTACTCACATGCGAGAAGTGAAGAAGGACGCCCCGATCGTCGGACTGACTGCACTGCTGAACTGGGACTTGTTCATATGACGCAACACCAGTGACGTCTTGCCAGCGCCTGCAACAACAACAACAACAACAACAACAACAACAACAACAACAACAACAACAACAACAACAACAACAACAACAACAACAACAGATATAATGCACTGCTAATGCACTGCACAGAAATTGTACAACAAAATCACAACTATGTGTCCTAAAAAGGTCGAGAGATTATAATAGTCCAGGCTCCATAAAAGGAGTGTTAACATCCAGTGCCCGGGCGCCCATTCATATTTGGGAGCACGCTTGACCCCTTGAGGTACAGCTTTAGTGCTACAGCTACGTGCGAGGAGTGCGACATGCCACAACTGTGAATTATGGCCCTTGATATTGCTACTAGCCCATCCATTTGGAATACACCCAATTTGGGGTGATGGATGCCAGTCAACATTTGTACACACTGGAAGCTTATATCTGGCAGTTTGGGCCTAGAAGATTCTTCAGTCTTCTGAAAATAGCCGAACATCTTAGCTGGACTCCACTTTTGGCACAGAGTATCCCTAGGCCCCGGCCCTTGCGTTTGATCTACCTCACCCCCCCCCCCCTGCATTACAGTCCATTCATAAAAAGATGGGCTCTGGCTCTGACGAGCTCCCGTATTTGGCGATTTTTCGTGATTTCATCGTACACAGTGCAGTGCTGCGAAATTTGAAATTTGAAAAAGGGTCCAAAAAGGGTACCTGAACTGGGGTTCGAACCGCACAATGCACTGTTGCAGACGGGGTCAAACGGCCTGGATTTTTATGGTTTTTCCCAATTCAATGCTTTGGGGGCAAAACCTGGCCGAAATCCTATTCTTGTGATGGCTTGCTTTTTGGAGAAAAAAACTTCAGAAACATAATTGGAAGAGGATTCCATAGAGGATTGCAGAAAAAAATTCTAAAAAAACTCAACGTTTGACCCATTTATGGCCAAAAGCTAGAAGTTCATTTTTTTCTGAATGGACTGTAGAACCTGATGAAGGATGGCGATGGTTACCCTTTGGGCTACCCAATCCCCCCAGCAAGTTAAAGGATGTCCTTATACGGATTTCCATTGCTAAAATTGCACCCTTGGCCCCTGATAAAAGACAAACTCTACCAACAACTATTCACAAGTCTAAGGGACTGAAGGATAACTGCTGATCTTGCTTGCATGCATTGGTCTAATACTGATGACTGTGGTGTCATGTATTTAGAGTCTAGTGCACGGTATTGCTTTGTGGTACAAGTATTACATTGTTCATGATATTCGTTACAACAGTGTATGCTCTGCGTAGATAAGTAGATTGGGTTGCAAGGATAGCATGTTAGAAGTAATTGATTGGAACATCTGGGCCGCTCAATTACGTTAAGAGCACACTCTCATCATTGTTAACAACATTGTTGATCATACGGGTCAGATCCTAGTGTTTACCTAGTCATGTAATTTCTCGTGCTGCTGTGTTCAGCTGGTTGGACTACTCTAATAGTAATACCTTAATTACTAGCCTTCGATAGCACGTGCGAGTGCGGGCTTTTGCTGCGCAACTGGTATACCCCACAGTGTATTTAGAATAGTCTTCAATAATAATCTAGTTCAGTGAGTTTCACTACTTCCTAGAACTAATACAAGAAACACCAGGTCCTGAGATTGTGCGGTGTGCGTGCGTGTACGTGCCGTAGAAGAGTCTGATGGTCTTTCCCCTTCAGCTCTTGGTGCCGAAACCCGGGATAGGCAGAACGTACTGCTGTGGGTTTTCCTAGAGAGAGGTCCGGTGAGGAGTATGGCGGCGAAGATTGAAGGGTTCTTGCGCCCCTACAGAGGGAAGGGCGACAGCTGGGAGGTGTTTTGGGCCAAGTTCGCGTTCTTGGCCACAAACCAGAAGTGGGACACAGACGACAAGAAGATGGCGCAGCTTCCGCTCTACTTGGACGGCGATGCGTTTATGGTTTACAACGCCATGGATGACGCGGACCAAAAGAAACCGGACGAAGTAGAGAAAAGAATGAAAGAAGCGTTTTGCCTCACGAAGTCGCAGGCATACAAGCTGTTTGTTGCACGCCGCTTGCAGCTGGATGAATCCCCAGATGGGTACATTGCCGACCTTAGGAGGCTAGCAGCGGTGGCAGGCCTTGGAAGAGGCGCGGATGCAGACAGCGTGCTCGTAGAGCAAATCCTGAACGGCTTACCTTCATCCATGGCGCAGCAAGTGCGCCTTGCTCTGGTTGGAAAAGGCGACGACGTATCGTTGTGCCTGCAGTTGGTTCGAGCATTGCAGCAAACTGGAACTGAGGATGATGTTGTTTCAGCTGCAAGTGGCGCGAGTGGCCCCGGGCCGGCAGGCTCTGGTACGCGGAATGTGCTTTGCTTCCGTTGCAATAAGCTTGGTCACGTGCGGCGAAACTGCCCGGAGGCGAAGTCTGGCTACGATCGCGGTGCTTGGAGGAGCTCAGCGGCGGGGGGTTCAAGTGGCGTGCGGCCTGGCCTCACTTGTTTCTTCTGCGACAAGCCTGGCCACTTGAAAGCAGACTGCGAAGAACGGAGGGCCTGGGAGGCCCAGAGGTCAAGCAAAGTCACCGGTCAGCCATCACCATCGGCAGCCTGCACGTCTTCCCCGCAGGAATGTTCCGTGGAACGAGGTGAGCCGGCGGAGGAGCGCTGCCTGTACATGGGGCATGGGAGCGAGAAGTCAGGCCAGCTGGTAAAAATCTTCGTTGGTGTAAGTGCAGCGTCTGGTGACAACGCCGGCAAGGAATCGTCCATTGTGAGCGCACGTGCACGCGGACAAGCGGTTGTAGACACGGGCTCGACGAGGACGTTGATCAGCCGTGCATTCGCGGACCGCAGCAGCCTCACGTACGACGGCCCAGACACTCTCGAGACCAACCTTGTGGCTCTGGACGGCAATCGAATCGAAGTTCTGGGGCATCTAGAGGTCCTTCTAGAGCGAAACGATGGGCCTGTCAACCTTCCCAGAGTCAAGGTACGAGCGCTTGTAGTTGAAAGCCTAAGCACTGTCCGTGCTGACGTGCTGATTGGAGCGGATGTCGCTTCGCGGTGCGGTGGGTTGCAACTGAAGTATAGTAGTGATGGACAGCTTTGCGGAGTTGTATTTGGAGCCGCAGCCAGCGACACTGTTGCAGCCACTGCTGATCGGCTGTCCCCGAAGGGGCAGGATGATGATGGTCGATCTGGCCATCCGTCGCGTCGGGTGAAAGTCAGCACCACTGACGAGGGCAAGGTTATGCTCAGTATTGCGGACGGTGTCGTGACCTGGAGCCCTGCTGAGAAGCAATGGGAGTTGACCTGGAAGTGGCTCGATGGTGAACCTCCTGCAATGCCGCTCGGCCCGGGTATCGGAGAGTACAGCAGGACGAACCTGACTCCGGAGCAAGAGCGCCTGTTTGTTAGTGAGGTGCAATCCTGGATAGACAACGGCTGGTTGATCAAGCACGACCCGAAGCTACATGGCGAGCCAGCATGTGTGCTGCCGCTCATCGGTGTTCCGCAAGAACACAAGACGACGCCGGTGAGGCCGTGCCTGGATTACCGTCACTTGAATAAAAAGCTCCACTCTGACCCTGGTTTTGACCCACCAGTCTGCGGTGACACGCTACGTCGATGGCGTCAGGCAGGAGAGGATTATGCTCTGCTCGACATTAGGAAGGCATACCTCCAGATCCGGGTTAGCCCGGCGCTGTACCGCTACCAAGTCGTGCTTTGGAAGGGAGAAGCTCACGTCATGACGAGAATGGGATTCGGGTTGGCGGTAGCGCCCAAGTTTATGGATGCCGTTGTGAAGTACGTCACCCAGCCGTATCCTGGAGTAGATAACTACTATGACGACCTGCTGGTCCCTAGTGCCCTGGTGCCGAAGGTGTCTGGTGCACTGAATGAGTTCGGCCTACCAACCAAGCCCGCAGAGCAACTGGCAGAGGCTCGGGTCCTTGGCCTCCAGCTGACCAAGTCGTCCAGTGGTGACACGTCCTGGTCGCGAAAGGAGCCAGCTGCCATGACCTTGGAGCGTCCGGCAACTAGGAGGAGAATCTTCCAATGGTGTGGACGACTGACAAGCCACTACCCGGTATGCTCATGGCTGCGACCTGCCTGCAGTTTCTTGAAGAGAGCAGCTTCGGCGGACGATGCGTCCTGGGATGATCCAGTCCCACCGGCTATCCAGGTCTGCTGCGAGGAGCTTGAGAAGCGGCTAGCCGAAGTCGACCCAGCAAAGGGAACGTGGAGCATCTCTGCTGGCGACAGCAACACATGGACGGTGTGGTGTGATGCATCCGGCCTGGCCCTTGGTGCTGCCCTGGAGGTTGACGGCAAGGTGGTGGAGGATACCACGCAGCTACGACCACACCAGGACAAGAGGCACATCAATATTGCCGAATTGGAGGCGGCCATCCTGGGTCTCAATCTGGCTGCGAAGTGGAATGTGAAGCGGATTACGCTGAAGATTGATTCCAAGACCGTCTTCGGGTGGCTGAAGCAAGTGATCAACGATGTCCGACGAGTGAAGACCACTGGCTTGCATGACCTGTTGGTGCAGAGGCGCCTACACATTGTCAGCGATATGATTGACACGATTGGAGCCGCAGTGGATGTTGTATGGGTGTCGTCTGACTCCAACATTGCAGATGCCCTGACCCGAGTTCCAAGCGTCTGGCTTACTCGATCCGTGGGTAGCATTCCCGACGTCACCGCCGGCGCTGTGTGCGAAACGACAGTTGTTGGCCCAATTTCGTTTGACGCCGTGGCGGCAGCCCAGCTGGAAGACGAAGTGGTGCAGCGTGTCGCCAGCCAGGTGGCTACCCGATCGGCGGTTCGCGATGCTGGTTACAGGAGCGTGGCAAGTCAGCTCGTCGTCGAGGATGGCGTCCTGCTCCGAAGCGTTAAGCTGCCTGTTGAGGGTGAAATCCTCGTTCCTGTCATCGCTAAATCCGCGGAAGAGTCTGTTATTAGCGCTGCCCACACCAACTCCGGCCATGCCTCATGGCAGAATATGTACGAGATGTTGCGTGAACGCTGCTACCTACCACGCATGGCCGAGAAATGCCAGCAACATGTCCGCAGCTGCCAGCGTTGCAAGGCTGCGAACGCCGCAGGAGGACAAGCGGCGCCAGCGACACGACCAGATATGCCCGGGAGACCGTGGGGCTGTGTTCAGATCGACACCTTGGAGCTTGGGGCGAGCAAGAGCGGGGAAATCCACTGCGTCTTGGTCTGCGTTGATGCCCTGACGAAGTACGCCGAAGTTGTCCCGTTGCGTCGGCACGATGGTGCGAGCGTGGCCGATGCCATTGTCGAGTTGTGCTGTAGATGGGGAACGCCAGATGTGATCCGGATGGACAATGGCCGGGAGTTCCGCAACTACATTGTCAAGGCCCTTTTGCGTGTGTTTGGTGTTGAGGTCAAGACCGGAGCTGTCAGGCACCCACAGACGCAAGGCATGGCTGAGCGTTTTAATCGCACGCTGCTCGGCCTCATAAGGAAGGTCCTGGAAGAATCAACGGATTGGCTAGCCGAGCTCCCGGTGCTGATGCATTACTACAACAGCCGCATCCACAGCGCCATCGGCATTTCACCAATGAAAGCAATGATCGGGTGGCAGCCTCGAGCATTGGTGAGCGCCCGCATCAACCTATCCGATCCCAGAGAGTGGCAGGATGAGCATGCAGCGAGGTGTGCGAGAGTTCGCGACCTGCTTGATGCGGAGATGTCCGAGAAAGACCACTGTGAATCCGAGCATGAGTGCCCGTTCGCGCCTGATGATAGCGTCCTCCTCCAGCAGCCAAAGAGGCGCCAGAAGTGTACTCCTCCATACCAATGTGGCTGGCGTATCAAGAAGGTCTTGTCAGGATCGACAGTAGTCATCTGGCGGAGGTTCAAGGGTGTTTTGCAGGAGAAGGTCATCAACATCGACCTGCTGAAGCGTGACGTGCCAGCTGCACCTTCCTCGGACCCAGCAGATGAGCGTCGCCATGATAGAGAGGAGGAATCGGCTGGAGAAGAGAGTGATGACAGCGGGCCATACGTAGTGTTCTCGCCGAGTAGCGATACTCCAGACGAGCGAGTGTTGCGAGACAGGTCTGCCATTCGACCGCCTGCCCGCTTTCGCACGCAGTGATTGCATGGTCGGTAGTGAGTTTCTACATGCCACCAGGCGGAGGTGATGAAGGATAACTGCTGATCTTGCTTGCATGCATTGGTCTAATACTGATGACTGTGGTGTCATGTATTTAGAGTCTAGTGCACGGTATTGCTTTGTGGTACAAGTATTACATTGTTCATGATATTCGTTACAACAGTGTATGCTCTGCGTAGATAAGTAGATTGGGTTGCAAGGATAGCATGTTAGAAGTAATTGATTGGAACATCTGGGCCGCTCAATTACGTTAAGAGCACACTCTCATCATTGTTAACAACATTGTTGATCATACGGGTCAGATCCTAGTGTTTACCTAGTCATGTAATTTCTCGTGCTGCTGTGTTCAGCTGGTTGGACTACTCTAATAGTAATACCTTAATTACTAGCCTTCGATAGCACGTGCGAGTGCGGGCTTTTGCTGCGCAACTGGTATACCCCACAGTGTATTTAGAATAGTCTTCAATAATAATCTAGTTCAGTGAGTTTCACTACTTCCTAGAACTAATACAAGAAACACCAGGTCCTGAGATTGTGCGGTGTGCGTGCGTGTACGTGCCGTAGAAGAGTCTGATGGTCTTTCCCCTTCAGGACTGAAACCGAAAACCTGAATTATAATAATTCTAGTGTTCCTCATTCTAACTCTTATTCTCTTCATAAGTGACTTCAGTAGAGTTGCTCTCCCAACCTAGGGTCACTTGGCCATGTTTGCGACACACACGGCTGCTTATCTGTTTTGTCCACCACACACACAATTTTGCACTGACGATGACGCGTGCACTAGGTCTCGGATCATAATTGGATACTGTAAATATACAAAATGTCGGCGCTGCAAAATTTCGGCACCTCACGATTTTTGACATTTCGGCGGCGATTTATTTTCGGCGTGGGGTAGAGGGCATGTACATGTATATAGTGCGACAGATGCTGTGAAAAATTTCATCGGCGTTTTAATTGAGGCGTTTTGGGTCGGTGCCGAATATAGCCGAAATTAAATAGCTGCCGAAAATTTGTATATTTACAGTAATGCAATACCGGTATATGTACAGCAGCAGTACAGGTCTGTTGTTCTGCATTGTATCGGTTTGTCGTGTATCTTGCCCACGCTAATCAGTACAGTCATGCTATGCACTGCATACCACCACTCATCAGCGCAGCACAAAAGGAAATCTTAGCACTCGTGTATGCCCCCAGCTTATGCCCTATCGTTAAAAAACTGAGATGTCTCAAGTAAAAGTATGTAATGGGCAATATGTGGGTTATAAGTTATGTACACGTACATGCACATGTACTCGCCAGCTGATAAAAAAATTGTGGGAAAACATTTTGGTACATTTCGCGCCATTTGCATCCCTGGCCCTTGTGCTAATTGCCAGAATTGCAGAAGAATAATTTTCACAGATTTTACCTTGGGCACCGAGTACGACAATTTTGGCCTCGATAGTGGGCTTCATATCGCCAGCAGCTTTCGCAGGGTCATGGACTAAGTCAGACTTCACCAAGCAGGAAATGTACACACATCGTTACGCTGTACTTGCAAGTATTGTTTACTGAGAAACAGATTCGGAAAGGTACAATTGCTGAAGATTCTCCGGGGATAACCACAGAACCAATTCTGATAATCCGTAGCGGTGAAAGAATTATACTGGTGTTTCTCAAAGCCAAAACCTACAAGCTAGGTCAACGAGCTATTCAGGGTATGTCTTGTCTTGTCTTGCCTCTAGCTCTGGAGTCTGGTACAGAAATCCCCTCTCATCTGTCCAGTTTGATTTGACTGGCAAAATACAAAGCTGCGACGTCGCGACGCCGCGATACGGTGGCATCACTGGCATGTCATCATCACGACATCATTCATGTGAGTCATGTGATCGCACATTTTGTGAGTCCGAAATCCGCACTGTACTGAATCGCTAGCGGCCGAAACCGGCCGACCCGCATCTGCATGATCTGGTACATGGTGGTCCCGTTCGCTGTACTGTGTGTTGCGGAATGCGGAAGCTCCGGCTTCACCAGCCACGCGATCATTATTTTCGAATAAGTGATGTAAGCCGTGAATGAGAAAGATGACGACGTCGATGTGGTAACGAAAAAGAAGAGAATTTTTGTTTTGACCACGCAGCATTGTTTTTTTTGTGATTGAAGGTTTCCCCTGAATGGAGGTGGAGTGAAAATGAGTGACGACTTGTTCGAGTCCGTAATTTCTCTAGAAGAAGACCTGCAGCAACGAGGCAGAATAGAAGGTGTTGAACGTGGCGGAAAGTTAGGATACGCTGAAGGCTATGTGGCAGGCCGGGAGAAAGGTTCGTCTGCTGGGTCTGAAATTGGATTTATGGTGGGCCTCTGCGAAACGGCTCTGAGTAAAGCCGAAGAGTACCAGCTCAAGGCAAGAACAGTAAAAGCTGTGCAAGCTCTGCTTGATAGCATTAGGTCTTTCCCGTTCGCGGATCCATCGTATGACAACTACGTTGAGGATTTTGAGAAGATCAGAAATAAATTTCGCCATGTGTGCGCCTTGCTGAAAGTGACACAATCCCACACGGAGAGCCTTTCTTTTTAGGACACTGATTAGGTGATCAATATTTGAAAACTAGCAGCTGCCTTGAAACTGGCTTTGAACAGGTGTACGTGTATTTCCTGGAAACGACACGAGACAATCTTTTTAAACCACTCGAACACTTGAGAACATTCATTTTTTGCTTGTCTGTTTATTTTTTTCTAGCTGGCAGCATGACTTTTTAGGCCCAGGTTACTATTTTTTCTATTACTCACTCAGCGCACGTGTGTGCGTGCGCGTGTGTGTGCGTGCGCGTGTGTGTACGTGCACCCGCACGCACATTCACAGCTCTATCCTCTTGGTGTTGAGATCTATTTTAAATTTTGGTCGACTGTGTGTCTTATCTCCAAGCCACACGCAGCGATGCCGTATGAGAGTGACTGCGTGTGGACTGCCAGGCCCATAGCCCGTACCCAAGCACACCATATGCGAATCAATGCCAATGCTGTACATGTGTTGGTACATGTACAGTGTTGAAAAGCAACATGATCAACTAACTTGTGCATGCATCTCCGCGATAGCAAATCCACGGTTAATATAGTATGATCTCCCTCAACAAGCCAGACGCGTGGTACTCCGTGACTCGTGTGTTACTGCTCTGCTTCCGCTCTCTGTATTATCTCCCTCAATTGTTCTATTGGTCGCAGACAATTCGGCTACCCCAGCCATGTATTGCTTGGAATAAAATATATCTGCGTCATGTCCTACTATGCCTGGTCTATGGGTTATTGTCATGTGACTAATGGCATAGTAATGTGATAGGGAACGCACCAAGAACGACGTAGCATTCGGATTAGTGAATTGTGAACGGCAATTACACCCAATACAATGCTATGTAGATACCACATCTTTTTTTCTCTTTTTTCCCCTACACAATCCACATTATCTCCACACTGGGATGAATAAGGGAGCGTGGTGGTGGGGCCGCCGGCCACAGGTCTCGGCTTCATAGCCCCAAGGACGCATCTACCAGCCAATACTGCAGTGCTGCTCAATGAAATCCAGTCGATGCACTCATGTACGCGCCGGGCGTTGCGCAGCCCTAGACCTGCGGACACTGGGCTTTGAACTGATGCAAGGCGCAAACTTGACGTGACGCGACTGGATTTCATTGAGCAGGACTGTACTTCGAAAGTGCAAAAGAATCCGAGCTGAATGCCATGCCTGTTCTGAGGTACATGCATGCTGAAGTGTGGACTGGCCAAGTCAAAAAGCAGCCAGTGCAGCTAAGGCCTGGCCGGCCGGTCGTGCACAGACCTGAAATCAAAATTCGAAATCTTTATTGATATTTGAATAACCCGAGGCTAAACATCAATAAAAATGATAGACAAAAGCTGTGATTGCTTTAACCCTAAAAAGTTGAACTATTAAATGCACCTCCACGGTCCAGGTTTCGATAAATCACCGATGCTAATCTGCACGGATCGACCGTGACTAAAAATACCCATACTGGATTCTGGGTAGACAAACACACACATTCACAATTGCTACAGCACTACTAAGACCTTCACGCCTAGGCCCAGTTTCATCAAGCGTAGCCTAGCCCACAACAGTGACAACTGCTCAGCATGCACATCGACTAAGCACACAGTACCCACTGCACCCGGGAAAAAAACTAACTACACCGTTAACACACGCGTTGTAGCCGTGCAATCCCATAGAGGTTATGCGATGACATCATCAGTTGGGATGCTTTGTCAAAGTCGCTGCACTAGCGACTCGCGCTGCATACACGGCGCTCGTAAGCGGTTCCACTGTATTCTTAGCGCCCATAAGCAGTTCGGCTGACTCACCCCCATGAAATCATTCGCATGACCCGACTCTATAGAGCCTCAGGGCCACACTGAGACAGAACCGCAATGGCATAGCAGTAAGAGTAGATGAAGCATATTCCCGTGTAGATAAACCGTGGTCTATTACGGATAAAAAAAATGGAAAAAAGATATGATAGCACAGAAAATGAAGAAATTTATCGGAAGACCAGAAATGAATGCTCAATCCGCGGACAGCAGAATTATAAATAATAGGAGACATTCAACTGTCAATCAAGAAATCACTTGAGCTGTTTGTGCACACCAACCGATATCCCAGTCATAAAATAGCTCATAATGTAGCCTGTGTGGAGTAATACCAAGAGTATATAACCGGGGGGGGGGTATGTACTCTTGGTAACACTGCACTACTAACAGTGAAGGAGTATTATAGTTGAACAAATGGTACAAGGTATGTGATTATGTGCACACAGTACTCATATAACATGCACAGTATTACTGCATTGATTCCCATAGTGACGTGTGAGAACCTGAGAAAGGAGATGCGTGAATTCAGGGTCCAATGTGGCTCTAAGCATGGCGGTGCCATTATGACCTGCACCCACACCACCCGGTGTGCTGCGCAGAAGGTATCGGGCAAGCATACCGCTTGGCTGCACTGCCACGGTGCATTTCTGAAGACACGGTCCCGTGGCAGTGGGACATTGGCAAACCGTTGAATTTGCTCAGCGTGTGGATCCAGAATGGCAAGCAGAGCCTGACAGTACCCGAACAAGAGCAAGCAGCACTATTGTGATCACATCCCCATCAGCATAAACGTGAGCATGGCTGCTGGATTGCTCAGCAGACCGTACGGCATTCCACTGGAAAAGGAACTTGTGACTTGGCCTTAATTCTGTATGGTGCTATCCCACGGACACTCTCCGTTTCTGTACGATGGCCGACATCAATCGAAGAGCTATCTCAGCCCACCACTTCAGGACACTGGCTTAAAGTTTTCGCTCCGTTGGAGCGGTGTGCTGGATCTCACCTGTTCATCCTACACACGTACTAGTATTCCACCTCACGGTTCAGGCTGAGCGGATGCTGGTGCTTGCTCGTACGCCGGCGGAGCATCGACCAGCTCGGCACGTGGATCAACAGGTGGCATGAGCGGACGCTGGTAGGAGTCCGGGGTTGTGAAGCGCGAGTCCTGTCGAGATCTCAACAGCCAGATTGTAACAATCGCCTGAACCGGTAAAGAAAACACCAACACCAAAACTGTCTCTTTACCTTTATCCGAGCCCTGGAGGTACAATACTGGCATCCGGCGTAACGGTTGTAAATGCCTACAGCATGCATATCATTCATTGCGAATGCTTTGCAATTCAGAGCCGATTCAACTAGTTTCGAGTAATACCCTAGCCTGGGTTGCTTGTGAATGTCCAATCTCAAAAGGGATAAAAACAATTCACACTTTGCAATCTTTCTGTGACAACTTTGGGCTTGCATTCCTTACCACGCAGACAAAGTTGAGAATACAAAAGCTTGCGTAGGCTTCGCTGAAATTGGTGTAGTCTTCATCTGCAGAAAATCAGCATAACACACGCGCAAACACACACACAGATATAATACACACACATACACACCACACCGGCACACACATACACACACACACACACAGATATAATACACACACACCACGCCGGCACACACACACACACCAACACGGATATCCAAATTAGGAAAGCACCGGCAGCAGAACAACACCATTTTCCAAGAAACGATATCTCGGCAACTACCATAAAACGAAACCTGTCACCACTTCAACGCAGCCAACACATGTACAGGTTGTTGGCGCAAGAAGTATGGTCTCCTTGATTGCAGTGTTGACAGAAGCAAGGTAAGGCTTCATGATATTTTTAGAGTGGCTCCGATGATATCAGAAAGCACGCGCAGTTTATCAGTGCCCCTATCAGTGCACTTCCTCAAGACCTTTTTCAGGGGCGTCGCACACGGTACGTTCACTACGGTATTGACCGTACCACTATTCGCCCCAAGTACCCCGTGAATCAATAAAATGCACTGATTCGGGCTCTAAATTTCCAATATTTTCGGCTCGGCCCCCCCGGTCCCCCCCCCCCCCCCCGAGTAAATTGTACTTCAGATGGCTGATCGTACCACACTAAATTACCCGGCTTCCGACGCCCCTGCCTTTTACTAAAAAAAGAGAGTAAAGGATTGAACTTTGTTCAAGCCAGGTGACAGATGAAGAGACATGTCCTCGTGTGGACCTGGCTTCCTACAGAGTTTCTACGAATCCTTGAACCCAGGCAATACACGAGTGCTCTGTTCATGCTCATCCAGTACCCACATCAAGTGTGAAGCACCCCGCTTATCACGAGAATATGTCGCAATGAATCGTGGAGGCCCATTGGTACATCAAGCAGATCACCGGCTTCTTTCAACTGCACCCTCTCACCTCATTGATCGGTTGGCAGCATGTTACAAGGTGGAGGATGCACTGTGTTGAAAGCAGTGCTCCCGGTGACTACAACCATAATCGGTTGGCAGAGCCCCGGTCTTGCGACTATTTCAACCGTATGGTAACATGCTGTCAACCGATCAACATGTTAAAATCAACCAAACAAGGCCTACATAATACCCACTTACCTCCCAGTGCATGTCGACTCAGTCCGTGCAGCTGTGCACCGACCGTAGTGAGGAGGCTTAGTGCCGATGTCAGCGTCAATAGTAACGGCTATTGGAAGCACAGGCAAAAACCAGGGTTGTTCTACGCAGGCCGTAGGAGCTAGCTAGCAGTAACCGTATTTTCCAGAGTATAGGCCACGCTTTAAACACTCGCAGTACACACCCGAAAAGTCAGTGCGGCTCATACTACGGTGGTCAAATGAATGGTGGTATACAGAGTGGATATGTCTGTATTTCGTGACAGATCTGGGTGCAGCTTGTACGCCAGTGCGGCTCATACTCTGGAAAATATAGCACATGGCGCTGACCTATCAGCCCATCTATCAGCATACACAACTCTGCTCTGAGCTTGCGGATACTCAAACACTAGCAAGTCATTCTTTTAAGAATGCCGGGCTGATGAGCGGTACACCAAAGTCAGCCGGCTAGTCAAAGTATCAGTCAATACCACAACTAGTTTTAGTCCAAGGACACAATCACATCTTTTGTGTAACCATACACATTTGTGAGTCAGTATCGCTCATGGAGGCATACACATCTGTGCAGAAATAAACGGACGGGCAAGGATACAGAATAACCAGAAAACCAGCTGCATTTCTATTTTTATCTAAGCGTAAATTTGAGCCAAGCAGCCTTTTTTCACTGGCTCAGTGTCGAGAGAACGGGATATAAGAGGCACTCCTCAGCCTGAGGACCGGATACAGGGTGCAGCCGGGTCTGGCTGAATGGACACAGTACAGCATGTACTTGGTAGGCTATTCATAGTCGCTACACGGTCCCGATACCTTTTCCGTGTGGCTGCGCCGAATCAACAGAACGATGATGGTGCCTTCGGTCAGCACGAACGAGATCATGTCGTTGGGCAGATAGACATATGACCAGACACGCACATTGTTGTAAGAGTACTGCTTGTCCTGTGTGGTGCGTATAGCGAGAGCCGTGCCAGCGTGGGCATTCTAGGTCAAGGAAGACAGCACTCTCAAATGACTAATCCAGTGGTCAAGTTTTTCCAAAAATGAAAATACATGACTGTATCACAATCATCCGCATCATTACTTAGAGCAACCCTGTCACTGTAAAGGCGGCACCACCCTGACTGCTATTCGCAGCCTTTATATAACTAGTGTAGCCATTAGGTACACTGTAATTCCGAAACAACGTGCCATGTATCGCATGGAGAGAGGTACAGTGGGTCAGAGCATTCTGGTTCCCTGCGGGACCCGGCAACCCGACCCCACCGCAGAAAAGAGACTATCAGTTCCTGCCGACCAATCTCCAGAGACATAACTTAATTGTCCCGTAACCAAGCTTACCGCTCATGTAAATCATGCACACATACACACATATACTACGCATGTAAAACATTCACACATGCACAATGCATGTAAAGCATGCACATTTAATTTACACACAATCATATACTGACAAGTGCCATGCGTGTTTAAAATGCACACATGCACCCATATTTCATTCTCTTCGAGTAGCACCATACACTGACATACTAATGACTAATGTGGATACGCACGTCGTACTAATCTCCCGGGTTAAGTACTGTTCATATGCACAGTCCAGCAGCTTTGACACCATGCCGATGCAGAGTGTGTTGAACACCTACAGAAAGAGGGGATGGGAAGGAACAGAAGAATACATTTAAAAATGTAGTATTCATATGTTTGATAAAGTCGAGACGGGAAAAGTCTGAAGAAAAAATTGACTACCACCACCAGGACTCGAAGGGTTTATCGGGTACGCGGGTGTTAGCGGCTGTCGTGAGTTCCCTTTGGGAACGGACACGATAATTTACTCTCTTTTTTTCAACCAGGAATCGAACCAGGGACCCTCGCCTATCGCCAGATGCTCTACCACTATGGTGTAGTCGTCATCCCAGCAGCAACCGGTGTTCAACAATGTCTTCACTCTTCAGACCTCACTGGAAGCAGAGAAGTGCTACGGAGGTTCTACGTTCCAATACAGCCGCCACTAGAAACAGTGATCAATTAGTCCAACTCCCTCACATCATTCACCTACATTGGATGCCTATGGTATGGGGCCTGAATTGGCACACATAAATCGTACTCACGGTCTCCTAGCTTTTAACAGTGAAGCCTACCGCAGCGGCGTAGCCAGTGACCGCTAACTAAAACCGAACGCGGTTCTTGTGCACAGGTAGTCCGGCCCCAGACCAAGGATACACTGGCAATCAGAATGGCAACAGAGGAATCGTTCGGTCTCCTAGCTGTTAAAACCGTGAAGTCTACCGTGGCCGGTGACCTCTCAAATTCAATGAACCCCAGAACGCGGTCCTCGCGTACAGGTCGTCCCCATGACCCAGGTTTACTTGACTGGAAATGACACCCATGCATTCAAGTGATCCTCAGTCCTGCGGTCCCATGAGGCAGGTGGTTGCCTTGACAGGTTATCCAAGCTATACAGGACATGCATAGTGGTGGCCTGCGGATGCGAAGGCTAGTTTGTGTGTTTCTGAACATTCAAGCGATGCCGACGCGGATCCCGCGAATATTATTACAGGTGGAATCCTGATAATTCGAACCTCCAAATGCCAGAAAAAAATTCTAATTATCCGGACAGTCTAATTATCCAAACATGAACCCACAACACAATATGTATGTCAAAATGCTCCCATTGTCACGCAGAGTTGCGCTATGGACCTTGGACACAGATCTCACGGATCCTGAACTGACAGGCACAGCCAGCTCATGCAAACTGCACTGACCAGTACAGTGTACAGTGAACTTCGAATTATACGTTGCTAACTTCGAATTATCAGCACAAATCCCACACATTTTCTATGTAAGTGGAATCCGTGGAACTTCGAATTAACGGATATGTCCGGTTCGAGGTTCGAATTATCAGAAAAATTTATGTGGGAATCGTATTGACAGAAATCGGTCCTGGAATACATGTATGCATGGTATGCAGTCTACCTCCAGCCTACGCAGGTCCAGAAGGCGCCTGACTGGCCTGTCGACGCAGGATGGTGCTGGGGTAGGCATCGGGCATTGAAAACTGTTTAACGTGGAATTTCTTGGAGTTTTCTCCTATGAATTGTACTGGAATTTTAATTTTTTCTTTTCATGGTATTTCACATCTATAGACTTTATCTTGCCCGTAAATGAGGCCACTACCCCGAAAAAAATGGTACATGTAAATGACTATACAGGTCATGTACTTGTAGTATAATGTAATGATGTTGTGCTGCTTACCAAAGCCAGTAACAGAAGAACCACGTAGACTCCCTGGTTCAAGCGCATCCTCTCACAGAACAATTTGCCACCGACAAAAACGTCCGGGTCCCGTACCAGTCCTTGCAGTGGCTGTTCCCCGTGTCTAGCTGAGGTGCTGAGCTAGACTATTCTAGGCAAGCACCGCATGAAGTGATGAACTCCAGGATGGTGAAATCTGAAGAGCATAGTGATACAGCTAACAATACATGCACTGACTAACTAAAAAGGCCATGTGCACGTAAGGAGAGGAGCGTCCAGCACCGTGCAGCCTTCACTCGCTACAAACGTGCGTACCGCCGGTAGTTCTAGTCCCTTTGTGCTGATCGCTGTCAGTATATCAGGACTCTCGGAAAAGTCGTAATAGTCTCTTGTCCAGAAAAAATAACATGGCATGCATCTAGCTCTGAAATGTAATAATAGTTCACCCATTTCAATTTTCGCACCGGTACTTTCCCCAGCCCGTGAGCCCGATCGATAGAGCTATAATTTTTTTACTACAGTCAGTAGATGCCGCGCCAGTCATCATGCATGGTCATCTGTCAGACTTGAGCAGACCATGTGACATACATGATACTGTACATGACTAAAATAATTTAATATTAAAATCAAAAAACAGTGTTCTCCACCTTGTTTCATGCTGTCAATCTAGCGTGAACTACAGTCGACCTACCCTTATAATACGATAACCTCTATAACGATATTTTTCTGCCAAACCAAATCACTCCATTGACTGTAAAGGGTAGGGCATTATCAATGCCCTACCCTACAATATTGCTATAACGATATTACCCCTATAACGATATAAAATGGGCTGACCAATCAACATTTTCCATTTTATAACAATATCTAGCAGGGAAGATGTAGAGCCCACTATCCAGGTAGGGCAAGCTTCACTTGATAAGTCGCTAGCTGGGACATGACGAAATGCAATGGGGGCACCAGTGGGCACCTTGCTGGGTACATGATGTGCATGTATATCAGTTTTTTATGCTATGAAGAGTGTAAAAAATGAACAACTAACTTGACGAAATCCATGCATTATGACGTACATGTACATGTATGTGTATGAAATGAACCAGTTTACCCCTATAACAATATTACCCTTTAAATATAACAATGTTTCTTGGTCTGACGCAAATATCGTTATAAGGGTAGGTCGACCGGTTATCTAATACTGGTTTTTTTAACCCAGTGTTGGGTTATATAACACCAAGTACATGACTGTCCAAATTTTCGTTTGGAATGTTACTTTCGCTACATTCGTTTGGGGGCACGAAATAACTAAAGTTTATACCAAACTAAACCAAAGATAAGTAAAGTAACAGTAGTTTTTTTCTGAACGTTCGGGGTGACAGACCTCCTCGACCCAAAACGAAATTTAGCATGTAACAAGCCTGCTGGTGGAATGATCTAACGAAAGATTTCTTGAATGAAAATTTGCACTTACTACAGTGTAGTATACAGTAGTCATTGGGCGCGTTCGATTACACACAATTGCACCTTTTTGTACACGTGTTGTACACGTACATGTATGTTTATTCTCGGAGACCCCGTTGATTTAGGCTTCGGCCTTTGGCAGTTTGGGGAATCCCTCAAATAATAATAATAATAATAATAATAATAATAATAATTTGATAACCGCAATCAGTAATACAAGCTGGATCGACATTAATTTTGTGTACACTGTATTCATGTACAGGTAATGTAGCAGACAGATGGAACATGCTTCCACCTGGATGTCGTCAAGCTAAGCCCCTTTCTGCATTTGTCACAAGCACCAAGTCATTCCTAGGGTTCCCAGTAAAAAGGCAACGCCTGTTGGGAGTTCCCTAGTAAAATAATAAATTCTACTACTACTACTATGTAAAACTGTGGAGACAATGTGCAATAAAACGATGAAAATGTGAAGAAATTGTGTAGAGAAAAAAAGGGATTCAAACAAGTTTTCGTACAACACTCATCAGGAATCTTCGTTGTACTAAAGGACACTGAAAACAAAATTGAACTATTATAGAAAATCTAAGTTAGAGAAATAACACTAAGAAAAACAGCAGTGAAATTTACAAGTGTGAATTTTAACATTGAATGAAAGCGAGAGCAATAACGAATGTGTGTACTAACACTAAACTTGCAACTGAAAAATGAACAAAGAAGAGAAAGAAAGAAGGAAGGACAAAGTGATAACAAATAACAGCAGTACATTACACCTAGAACATTAACGGCCAACCTTTTTTTTTCTACACAATTTCTTCACATTTTCATCGTTTTATTGCACATTGTCTCCACAGTTTTACATTACATGAATACAGTGTACACAAATGTCGATCCAGCTTGTATTACTGATTGCGGTTATCAAATTGTTGTCTCCTCGCCGTTTGTTCAAATAATAATAATAATATTAACTGGTTTTGAGGGAAAGAGCCATAATAATAATAATAATAATAATAATAATATTTTACCAGTTAAAACTGGTTTGAGGGAAAGAGACAAACGGGAAAAGTCTGAAGAAAAAATTGACTGTCACCACCAGGACTCGAACCAGGGACCCTCGCTTGTAGCCAGCGATGCTCTAACCACTGAGCTACATGTACATGTATGCCACACAGTATGGTGTAGTCGTCATCCAAGCAGAGGCCGTTCAACATTTTCTTCAGACTTCGTAACTCACACTTCCTGTGAATCCACACAGGCGGGTGGGACGCATAATAATAATTGCCTTCCTGATATCCCACTGCTGGGGTTATGCCAACATGACCGTATACGAGTGATAAACAGCGCTCGAGTCTAGCGACGCTCGACTCCTCGAGCTCAAGCCTGACTGATGTACACCTTACAGACTTTTGTCAGTTAGAGAACGTGAGTAAGGCAAAGCCTAAACTAAGCCTAAAGCCAACAATGATAGACCTAAAGAAGGGCCATTTTCAAGGCCCAGGCCTCATGGGAGTGAACGAGTGGAGCCGGCTTGCGGTTCAGTGACTGTCATCGTCACGCTGAGTTGCTGGGCTAAGCGATCGATAGCTTTATCTGATCATGGCCCCTGAGCCCACCAACAGCTTACATGGCCGGCGCCAGCGATTGCACTGCAAGACCGCAAGACACTCCCCATGCACACACACGATGGATTTGGAAAATGATGGTGCCTACCCAAAGCACATCCTTTTTCATTTTGGTAAATATGGAAAGTGACGAAGTGCGATAAATAATAATACGATGTCATGATCATGTAGTAAGATTAAGACTAAGAGTAAGAGTGAGGGCCAGAGTCATTTTGCATCATCAAGGCAAGAGTGGAGTCACGCACTACATGTTGTAGTCTTGAGGTCACGTATCACACCTCGTCTGGGCATGGTGAGTCATGCTCCTCGTTGTCGAGGCTAGCTGCTTGTTCATTCGTTTGGGTCGTGTAGAATCTGGATCCAAATGGCTCGATGTTTTTGTAATAGGGCTTGAAAGTGCTACGTCACAGCATAGCAACAATTTCAAAAATTCAAAAACTGGATCCACTTGGATCCAGTTTTTGTATGGATCCAAGCACATTTCAAGCGGTCTTACCCACAGCATGGTGATGTAGCCAGTGAAACTGACTGATTTGGCTACTGGGGGCGGGGTTACAACTGGTGGCGAAATAAAAGTCACACCTGCATGCGACATGAGTGGGTTGCTATGCACCCACATACTTCGGCAATAGCAAAGTCACACCTTAGTGGATCCAAAAATAGAAATCTGATGTCAACTTACTACTCCCTGGCCGTTTTGACGTCATCACTTTCAAGCCCTATATACGGTTCGGCCAGTATGTAGTAGTATGTACATGTATGATATAATCCAAAACTGGTAAACCAGTATTAGATAAACCTTGTTGTAGTTCACGCAATTGTTAGATTGATAGCATGAAACAAGGAGGAGGACACTGTGTTCGAAAACAGTGACCTTACTACAACCTTCCGCGGTTGGCAGAGCCCCGGTCCCTGCGGACCATTTGAACCATAATTATGGGTATCGCACCCGGTTCTGACCCTCGTTATGCTAGGGGGTTAGGAGACTACTCTTGATGTCGTCTTGTTGTCTTCGCTCTTTTTTAACTTGTATAAAAAACTTTATAATAGCAATAAAGAGAACAAATCCTGCAGTCATCGTGAAAGGTAAACTCGTGAAGTCGTGAAAGGTAAACTTTCATGACTTCGTTGTAGTGTGGCGATGACTGCAGGATTTGTTCTCTTTATTGCTATTAATATTGTTGTCTCCACGTCGATTATTTGTATAAAAAACTTCTTTTTCTTTCCAACTTCTGCCCATGGCGTCCTTCTAGAATTCTCTCAGCTCGTCAGCTGTAAACAGTTTTTTGTCATCACCATGACAATCTAACAATTGTATGTACATGTACATGTATGTATAATTTCATTTTGAATTCGCAAGTACACAAGGGCTACAAGCCCAATTACGTCGCAAATCAACCTTCTCAGTGGATTGGACGGTTTCAGACAACATGCTCACTGCTGTTTAAGTTTTTTTCTTCTACGCTTTGGCCTTGATCCAAGACGACCTTCGACTTTTCCAACTTTCAAACTGGCATTATGGAGTATTGTGAGCATTATAAGTGGCATTATATCCTCATATTATGAGCATTGCCTTTAGCATTATCGCAGCAAATAACTAGCATTACCCACCCATGCCTACCCTCTCTCTCTCTCTCTCTCTCTCTCTCTCTCTCTCTCTCTCTCTCTCTCTCTCTCTCTCTCTCTCTCTCTCTCTCTCTCTCTCTCTCTCTCTCTCTCTCTCTCTCTCCTAACTATTACTTAGTCTTCCTGCACAGCTTCCTATGACTGTAATGTTTCCCACACGCAGTTGACCTTGATTGGAGGCTGATCCTTTTTAGAGTTAAAATGTGTTGTTGTTCATTGAGCGTCATGTCATTGCGATCGGTTCGCCCAATCATGCCCACTTCTCTAATGACACGTAAGAAGGTCGAAACAGCTAGTCTACTTATAGTAGCTAAGATTGCATCAGTACCTTCGAAATATACCTGCATGGATACCTGCTGTGATTGCATTGACACAATAATACAACATCTGCAACTAAACTTGCAAGTGCGGCTGCAACGCATGGCTCAGGTTGTACGTGTATGTACATGTATCTGCGAAAAGAGGTGTTTTGATGTCAAGAGGGGCTATTGACGTTTGACAGCGAGCATAGAGAACTCCGTACAACAAACAATAATGTCTGTAATGATCCGTTACTGGTCAAGCCCCATTCCTGAATAGAACTAACTTTAAACGCTTGCTCCCGTGTTTGGTCTTTGCTGAAACATAGAAAATGGCTGAGAAGCCATTATAAATTTGGAGCACGCCCTGAGGTGATCATATCTCTACGATGCGCTCATCTTTTATGATGGACCGGTGAGCTACACTTGAGGCGAAAGCCATTCATGATGAGCTGAGCTCTCCTGCTCAGTCTTGGTGTAATCCGGGCAGAGGTGCGGACCAGGTCACCAGAGCACCAGTGTGACTCTCTGAGGCACACTGAGTCCAGGCCAGAGGCAGTACTGTAAACATGGTGTAACAGAGGTAGACTGGCATGACTCGACTGCATGACTTGCATCACGCATGTCATGACTTGTAGATCTACTCATCAGAAATCCTCTCTTTTACCGTGGTTTACGGGCAGACAAAAGACAATTTGCCATTTGCGCTTGTATTGTCCTGGTTTGCGTGCTGCACGATTTCCGGCCCATCCGTTGCGAAGACGGAAAAGCCATAATCATGATAAACAGGGAGTTATGGTAAACCCGGGTTTAGACTGAGAGCTACTCAATACTGAGTACTAGTACAGTACTCCCTAGCCCAACTGCATTGTACACTCACGGCATTTTCCGTTCTTATCAAGTTTGGTTTGCAACAATCGGGAAAACGCGTCCAAGCAACTCGAAACAGTCGCCACCTCCCTTTCTGATACCTTAGCCTAGACTAGAGTTAGTTTTTAGAGGGTAGGCACTGGCGCACTCGTAGTCGTAAATCCTGTCATGACTCATGGACATGGAAATCCGGTCGCACGTCTAGCGCAGTAGCGGCCCCAGGCCAGGGCGCTCGCTGGCTATGCAGCCGTGGACGTGGGTAAGCAGTACCCTGTCAAACACTTGGTAGATCTAGACTACACACACATGACAGGATTTACGACCACAAGTGCGCCAGTGCCGCAGTGGTGCACCACAGAAGTCATTTTTAGCTCTGCCCTGCCGGCTTGGGAAGTACGGGTGTCCGGTGTGTCGGCATGTTCCGCCTGTGCGTCCGCTGATTGCCCGCCTAGCGCCTGTCGACAGGCGATCTTCACCACCACTAGGCACCACCGACGGAAATATAGAATTTAAATAATAATAGTAACACTATTGCATGTATCGAGAGCGAAGAAGCTCCGGCGGATTGCTGTTCTCTCACGAAGTCTGACAACAAGTCAACAGCCTACTACTTCCGGCAGTTACCGAGTCAGTGCGATAGATTTACGTCGCATAAATCGGACATGGAAGGACTGCCGTTGCTCATGCTACTCAGATAGCACTGCAGGATCGACAGCGAAGAAAGCCAGAGAAGCCGTTACTTGGCGCAAGAATGGGCCACCTCGCTGGTAAGCCATTTTCTGTTAGCAACTAATAACTTACTTGTTCACTTACGCGAAGTGCACGCTTACAGTTTTCGGGTCTTCCGTAGTGCCGTCAGAATCTGGAAACGACGTGGCGAGTAGCCCGTGTTTCGTTTCGTCCCATACAGTCTAGAAGTATTAGTACTGGAGTGCAGGGAAACTACTTCAGCGTAATAAGTACTAATAACGTAGATCTACATGTACATGTACCTCCAAGCCCAATGGCTGTAAACCTACCTGTACATGACTGTACTGTAGTAAAACCTACCTGTTGCTGGTTGACAGCTTGTAACAAGGTGGAGGACACCGTGTTCTGAAACTGTACAGTCATGCTGTCAACCAACAACAATACAAGTCATGTTTGAACAAAAACAAGGTTTATCTCAAACCTACCTGCTACTGTAGTATACCTGTACTGTAGTATGTTATACTAGTGGCCGAAGTACATCACTACATGTACTGTTTATCCCATGTGTAAATAGCAATCATGTACAAGGTACTATAGTACTGTAGGAGATTGCATGCATTCGGGGTCGTCGTAAAGTAAAGTTTGCACGTCCGCGTTACCACCGGCTATACAATTCTATTGAGAAACACAACCAGCTTAGGAAGTTTCGCTCGTGCCAGGCCACCGCCATGCCTGTGATACCAGGGTGGCAGCTGCAGCGCCTAACGGCGAGGGTGAGGTGGTAACCATGGCAACTCTCACAACCAATGCCCGGCAAGGGGGCGAACCTCGTTAGCTGCATCCATGTTACCCTCACTCCCAGTAGTGACACACAAAGTCAACTGGGTACCCACTATCTATATTAAAGTAAAAAAATAAAAAAAGTAAATTATCGTGTCCGTTTCCGAAGGGAACTCACGACGGCCGCTAACACCCGGTAAACCCTAGCGGCAGATGCTATCTATAAACTTCTTCTACAACTCTTGGCAGCACTGCACACAGCGCTTGTTAGTGAAATCCAACCACTGGTTTGAATGCTGGGCCGAACGCTGCTTTGCTTACACAGTACCCAGTGCATGCTCTAAGCAGAGCCCTGCAACTCTGTGACACCTACTACACAGGCTAAGGCTCCAGGAGTGGGAAACTTGCTCAGATTTGACTAGACCAACGTAGTGCCGGAAGGATACGAATCGATACCTCTAATTAAATGGAGTGCATATTTGAATTTTGAAAGTTTAAAAATTAACAACCATTAGTAAGTGTGTGTGTGGGGGGGGGGGGGGGCATTCAATTGGGACATTCACACATTCAGAGACATTTATATATTTTCTTGAACGTTGGTTGTCTGCAGTGCTGATAGCGGCGACGGCTGGAGGCATCGCGGCATTTGCAGTTTTCATCATTTTCCTCTGCTGTTGGCGGCGGAGGGAGAATGCTCAGCTTGCCAAGCATCCGAAGTTTGCACGCAAGGCTCGTCGGAGGATGGTGGCGCCGCCCGTTCCAGTTCTAAGCTTAGAAACGTCCCCAGTAACTCATATTGATCACACTAGCACCGCAGCAGCGGGCTACGTCCAGGGTGACATGCAACGAGGCGGCCCGAAATCGGCAGGATCTCCTCACCGTCGTCCACAGCTGTCGTCGTCACTGGAGCAGCAAAACGGCCTGTCCTCACGTCCGCTATCCCGAGAGGGGCAGACGAGCGGAGAGAGCGTTTCCTCTCCACCACCTCTTCCTCAGCGAGGACGGAGATTGTCGTCGTCCGAAACGCTCACGGGCCCTGCCTCCGCTGTGTATCCTAAGCCACAAGCCGAGTCGCTGGCTGAAAGGCGACAAGCGTACCAACAACTGAAGCCGGTCTATACGAAATCGTTTACAAGCACGCCGGCAAAGCTATCCAGGTCGCACAGCGATGAGTGCCCGTCTACGCACCGCGAGGCCTCGCTGTCACCTTTCGCACGTCGACGCTACTTTTCAGAGGGGATCACTGAAGAGAGCGTAGACGAGCTCAGCAAATCAGTCGACCTCTCCGCCGATCACTCGCCGGGGAGATCACCCGATCGGCAAATAGACACGCCTGATCCTGAGCCGGAGGACAGTAGGCTCAAAGGACATCTTCAATTCAGCCTCGAGTTCATGTATGATGTGGGATGCCTGCGCTTTCGGCCGCTTCGGTTAAAGAACGTCCAAGAACACAGTCTCCTCTCCACCACGGTGGATACATTCCTGAAAGCTACCCTGCTGAGAACCAATGAACTACCGGCAGATGGCAAGCTGCACATATCCAAATTTGGACAGCTGTGGAAGAGCGGAGTGCACTCGAAGGAGAGCAACCCAACGTTTGATGACGGCGATTACAGTGACTTTCCGTGCGCCATGGGCCGCTTGGCGACGATGGGTCTTCTCGTCCTGGTGTACACGCATGACATGCTGGTCAGAGACTCGCTCCTCGGCCATATCTGGATGCCGCTCGAGAAGGTCAACGTCACCGGCGCAATGCCGATCTGGCGGCCGATAGAGAAAGGCTCGCGGATATTCTCCAATCAGGTGGGTGGCACTGTAACACTGGCAACACTGAACAATGAGGGTACAGTCAGACCTCGCATATCCGCACACATCGGTATTCCACAAAAAATATCCGGATAGGCGAGGGAACCGGATAATCAAACACACATACCGTATACTAGGTATGCATGGCGTATGCTGTAAACCCGTAACCAACAATTTGCTTCCGGATGGCGAGGGATCCGGATAAAAGAGGACCTGATAAGCGAGGTCTGACTGTACTGCTGTTGCGGACATTGACAAAACATTGGAAAATGTGGTACTCATTATGTGCAATTAAAACGTTTCTTCAGAATTCCCAAACTCCATTGCAGCGTATTTCTTGCACTTGAAAATACCACCATTCTGGCAACAGGCTCTCAGCTGCACCAAATAGATAACTTTGCAACTTTGGCAAAGTTATCAATCAGTTGGTGCAGCTGAGAGCCTGTTGCCGGAATGGCGGTATTTTCAATTGTTGTGGAATTAGTGCACCATATCTGTTTCGGGAAGCACCCTTTAGTGCGAGCGATGTACGCGCCTGCTGCAGATAGGGTACACCCGAACACCATGGCAGAATCAGGGTCGGTACTACTGCTAGGTAGGAGTGCTGAGGCGGCTAGAATTACCGTTTTCTGCATGCTACTTAGTAGCGACTGTATTGTGTGTGCACTCATATAATTAACTCGGATGGAGAGCCAAGCGTATTATAGGGTAGCTTGTAGTTCCTCGGTCCTTTTTCTTTCTATAAACTCGTGTAATTATTATGGTTGTTTCGGGAGTCTATCGTGACAAAGTTGTTGTGTGGGCTTGCGAAGATTTTGCATGGTCCCTTATTACAGTACTACATGCAGCAGTGAGCGGCGTCTTCGTCTTCCATTCTTCTGCCCTTGATCACCTGTAGGGCGCCTTGCAACATGGCATCATCCAATTCTCTCTGCAGTACGAGGCCGCGGGCGATCGACTGACGGTCGTAGTCCTCAAAGCATCTGGCCTGACCGCCGACAGCACTGACTACACGGCAAGCATCGGTGAGCGGCTTTGAAAGTAAAATCATGCGTGTGCATGTAGATGATGGTGGCAGTGCAGTTAGCCCTTTCAGAGCCCCTGGGAACGTTGAATGCGTACACATTCAAGCACGGGGCCGCTTTCCTCGGATTTAATCTCTGCGCCAAATTTTAAGTTGAGGAAACACGATTACATGTACTGCCAAATGCCAATAAACACGCTGCCGGAATCTTGCAGTTTCAGCTTTTGATTTGATTGAATGTTGACCTGGCAGTAACGAAAAGTCACAGTGCAATTTCACTCATCGTCAGGCTTTTGGGTTTGGTCCCTAAGTTATTTTTGACACAGTTTGTATTTTGACAAAAATACTGTTTTACTTGCACTGCAACCAGAGGGAACTTAAAAATAGTGCCAGGCCTGCCAGGCTGGCTAGCTGTTATTTATATGCATGTATTATAACGATTGTATCAGACCCTACTCACAGAACTGTTTCGTCCTTTGTGGACTAGTCAGCGCAGCACAGAGAAAATGAGGCTTAACCTGATGGGCAATGAAACGTGTATGGGACCCTAGTTAATTTGTTTTTTTGTTGCGTGTATTTGCTGCTCAGACCCGTACGTGACACTGACGTTGCTGCGTCACGGCCGCAGAGTCACGCGCAAAGACACGCCGTCGCAGAAGAGCACCTCGCAGCCGGTGTTCAACGTGTCGGTGCGCTTTGACGGCGCCACCACGGCGGGCGTGATCGCCGCCGGCACCATCCACGAGTGCAGCCTGCTGGTGTCGGTGCGCGACAAGACGCGGCTTCGCTCCGACACGGTGCTGGGCGCCGCTCTAGTCGGCAACCTTGCCCGCGACGAGGGCGGCAATGAGCACTGGCAGGCAATGCTGACTGCGACGGGATCGCCAGTCGTGCGCTGGCACACTCTGGGAGCCAAGCCCAGCCGTAGAATACTCAGTGCTGCTCATAGCAACACGCAATGATGATCGTGCACTGCTTGCGCAATGCCACTGATGTGCTGTGCTCAATGCGCGGATCTGGTGAACATCTTATGTCGATACAGTGGTCCCTCTATAATCCGGCACCATTTGTGCCACGAAAATCTGCTGGATTAGGGAGGGTGCTGGATTAACAAATCTGATTTACTGCTGCAATGTGCATGAAGAGGACATTTTGGCTACTGAAAATTGCTGGTTTATCGAGGGTGCTGGATTATAAAGTGCCGGATTAGAGAGGGACGACTGTACATGTATTGTGAAATTGAGAAGATGGAGCATGATTGCGCTCCATATGAGATGAATTTCTAGCTAGAATTATTATAATAATGCGATTTCAACTTTCTACTGTCTGACACTCATCGCTGTGCATTCTCACCCATATACACTATCAAATACATATACAAGTACCATAATTATATTATACACCCGTTGCAAGAGAAGCACGCAAATCAGCAAATGCACTGGATATGCACCCACAAATTTTCTCTGATAGCAATGCCGATAGCGGACATCTGCATGTACTGAGAATGGCATACTTGTACACTCATGCACGAGCACACACGTACACGCACACGTGCGTGCGAGCGAACACACACACACACATACGCACACGTACATGGATGCAAGCATGTATCCATATGAGCTGACCTGCACCCCGCTTAGTTTGAGTCAAGGCCTGCTAACATTTGAGATATTTCTGGTGCGTTTACGAGACCACAAAATTATTTGAATTGGTCTTCTCGTGCCTTCCAAACATGTGTAATTCTGAACTTGAGTTTTTACATGTACATTTGAAAACTGAAATTAGTTCGTACAAGTAGACTACCTGTCTCCTGATGATTGTGTTTCAACATGAAAATCGTGAGTAGAGACATAGTAATACAATCAATTTTTTTGTTCCACCGGACTTTCGTTAGTACTAAGTTCTGCATGCCGTGACCGGTAGTCAAGGCTCCTCTGTGTAGGTCTACGTGTAGTGACCTGGTGACTAGTCTAGTGTTCTTTGAATTTGAATCAAACCATTCATGTGGACCTACCCAACGCTTATGATGATGTTGCCACGCACTTTGGCTACAGTATGACCGTTACATGTACAATTCCCTGCTTTGTGCATAGCTGCGAGGATACTAGTGAGCTTGCGAGCACATAAAACGCATACACGCACCTGCATGCGCACACGCACACACCTTTGATGCCCATTGCTGGACTTGATGATAGTGATGCTACAGCAGAAGCCATAGCAACTTGTCCACACACACACTGGCCTACGTACGCACGTACACACGATATACACACAGTTAGTTGCCATTGCATCGTAGCTGAACGACTGAGGATATTACGACACCAGAGAAAGACAGAGAGAGGGAGAGAGAGAGAGAGAGAGAGAGAGAGAGAGAGAGAGAGAGAGAGAGAGAGAGAGAGAGAGAGAGAGATGAACGTAACAGAACATGTGGAAATACACACACACCCAGAACAAGGTATGCATGTACAAGCAACTGAGAAGGCGACGGCAAAGGAGCACCAGTCACTCATAAAGCATATTCCAATCTCATATGCCATCCACGTACTTTTGAAGTATAACTTGTAAACTTGAGGTCACATGGCAACGGAGCCAGCAAAACAGATATGTCCAAGAAACGCATACAATCTTATGTTGGTCGAAATGACAGATGATAAACAACAAACATATCAGCAGCAGCAGCAGCAGAAACAGCAGCACAATGGACAGCAACCATGCTGTGAAAAACAGCAGATGCAATGAAGACAAACCCAGTAAACCTTTCAAGACACTTTCACACGGGGACAAAGCGAAAACATGTTAAAAACTATATACAGGTTCGCAAGTTCAAAAGCTATACAAGTAGAAGATGAAAATTGTTTTTTATGTGCACAGTTTGAGCCGTGCTGCTTTGAGGATGTTGACCGTGGCAAACACAGCACAGAATGTAAGGCTCAGTGGAGCTCAATCCAGACGGATTTCTGCAACCGTAGACGGGCAATTGTGCGACTAGCACGCACAGACATACTGCAGTTACCTGAATCTTCGACAGAGGGCAGGAGCAAATACATGCGACGCACACACACACTACATGTACACAGGCGCGTACGGGAAGCACGCATGCCGTCACTGCCGGCGTAAGAACGCATGTAGGGCAAGCCCCAAATCCTAAGCGCGCGGCGCACTCCGCTTCGGCCGCCGCTCAATAGTCATCACCGCGGCTCAGGACTTCCTTGCACGTCGGCCGAAGTATGATCGTGTGCTCAAACTGTGCAGTGTAACTGCCTTTGATGTCGCACAGCGGCGGGTATTCCTGCACAAGGCCACTGTCAGTCAGCTGACGAAGTGCACCCAGATACTTGGTCTGTCCAATGCGGTCCAGCCAGCGGCGGCAGAACGCTAACGTGCCGAAGTTCTGGTTGATACTGTGCAGCAGTTGCTTGGCCCTTGCCGAGCGCAGGGGCACATGGCCTACGTCGTAGTCCTTCATGTAGTGCGAGCACTCCATGTCCTCGTGCACGATGCCGCGGCCCGTCGTGCCGAACGTTTCGATGGCGAACACCTCGCCCTCTTCCATTCGCGTCTGATCGTTGCTCTTGATGATGGGCACGGACTTGCCGGCGTGAATGTGATACGGCTCTATAGAGTGACCATTCAGGTTTCGGATACTCTTTACCTGGTATGTCTTGCCGTCGAGCTCAACCTCGTGCGACTCCATTACCTCCTGAATGGCCTCGCCTACCTCGCCCAGACGCGCGTCAATGCCTGCCTCGCGGATTCCCGTGTTCGTTGCCGCACGCACGGCGTCCACCAGCGGGTCGTATCTCGGGTTGAAGTGCACGGTCCACGCACAGTCGATCAGGCGGCCGTTGATGTGCACACCGTAATCCACTTTGCAAACGTCGTTCTCGCCCAGGATAGTGGGGTCGCCGGCATTTGGCGTGTAATGTGCCGCACAGTTATTGAGCGAGCACCCGGTCGGGAAGGCCAAGCCTGCCTTCAAGCCGTTCTCAGCAATCAGCGTGCGGTTCGTGTCCTCCAGCCGCTGGCAAATATCGATCATACTCATTCCCGGCTTGATATAGCTTTGTACATACTTCCGCGTCTGCCGATGGCATTCCGCAGCAAGGCGCAGCTCTGCGTACGCGTCCTCCTGTGCTCTGTCCATTGCACGCTTTTCCTCAGTGTTCGCCAAACGACGTGCCATCGTATCATCCTTGTATTGCATGATTTCACCTTCAGGGAAATCCCCTTCAGGATACAAATCTTTTATAGCCACAGTCGGAGGATTTGTTTGCTTGGGAACTGCAGATGCTGCTGCTCCATCACCTCCAGCGCCACCCTTCTTCTTCTTTCTCTTCTTCTTTTTCTTTGTAGCAGAAGCGCCTTGCCCTTCGTCCTCGCCTTCATTGTCACTGCCGGCTGCAGCAGCACAAGCACCTTCGGCTCCAGTTGTTGAATTGTCTTCAGCTGCACCAGCACTGGGGGCTTCGCCATTTTCTGCGCTGGCAGCCTTCTTCTTCTTCTTCTTTTTCTTTTTCTTCTTTTCTACGCTAGGATCTGCTGCTGCTCCTTCTTCAACTTCCTCATCCTCAACCTCCTCGGCATCGCCATTGACGTCCAAATTTTTCACCTCCTCCGCCATTTTGTTTTCTTGTGAACCTTTGCCTTTCAGACTTGCGCATGCGTTAGTCAAAAAATAGTTGCATGCTAGTGTGCGGCGGCCGCATCACGCAGAGTAGTAAAGTTACTACTATCCTGCTGTGTGATCGACGCTGCAGCGCTGATCGTCGTGATCGACGCGTGAATTATTAATTTTTTTAGTTAGTCTGTCGATGTCATGACGTCACATCATCGAACGATCGAAGGCAGTGGGCAAAGCCGGGAAATCCCCTACGCACTTGAACTTTTAATTTTTTATTTTTACCATGGCAACGAAGCGAATTTTAATGGTGTTTTACATGATAGTGTAAAAACAACAGAAAAAATGATAAGGCACCCATTTTGATAATCCAGGGGATGGCCCACGCCTGGTACTGCCACTGTATAAATCATACATGTACGTAATGACTGATAAAATGCTACACCTGTGAAGTAAAAGAAAAAAAAGGCCCAACCCTGCCCTGCCAGGTATTTGGGCTTACGGGGGTCGCCATCGCAAATAATAATATTAAAGAACTAAAGACTATAAAATTAATGACGGGAAGTGCCAGCTTCGGCAGCAACTAGGGAGGCAGAAGAAGAGTCAGGTGCATGTACAGCGAAAACAGAACGGCTACCACGCAGGCACATGACACTCGCTCTGAGCAACGCAAAGCTAAGGCGGCAGCGGATGAATGACATAACAACCGAATACGGTTCGCTGCTCAGTTTCTCAGCAATGAGAGATGCAATACGCTTGTAAAGCGAGGCAGATTGCTTGCCCATGCCACCGGTTGTCGAGAAGACCAACGGGACAAATGAAGCATGCTCAATCTCCCGCAGCCTCTCTTCATACGATCTCTTCTTTGCTTTCTCATGGCGAACGTAGGTGGCAGAAATGGAGGAGGACTGGTTCGAAGACGCAAAAGGGTTGAACACCCGGACGTCGAAGAAGGTGCGTTCGAACCGCCCTCACCACACTCCATTTGCTGCTACGTCCAAGCGAGCCTGGTCGTCGCGGATGGCGGTGCGATAGCGCAGCTGCTTCCCAATCAGGGGCTCCAGATGAGGCTCTACAGATACGTTGGTGGCAACACGCTTCAAGAAACCAGCGGTGACATCGCGGATCTCGTTATGCCTGATGGTAGGGTAACCGCCGGTGGGGCACGAGAGGGCATGGGCCACAGTAAACTGGCTTCCACAAACGCACCCTGATGGCATGCGCTGTGGTTGCCAGTTGTACCTTAGGTGCACTCCATCGCGAAACTCCGCTTTGGAGAGGGCAAATCCATGGCGCTTCAAGGGCCTGCAGGTCAGCCAACTGGAAGAGCCCTTCTCCGCAGCCAGGTCGATTACACGCTGCTTGGCCTCCGGCAGACTGGAGCGGAGCAGCAGGGCTTGGGCTTTGACAGCATTCCGTGCTGTTATCCTCACCTCCGCCTTGGCAGTACGAACGAGACTGGTTGCAGAGCCGAGCGCCATAGTCTGCAGCTTGATGTTGGTCTGCAAGGACTCAGTCACCCTTCGGATGCATCATACTGGGATGCGAGATCCATGGGATTGCCCAGCCCGATCCCTCCGTGACGACATGGAAGCGCAAGAATTAACCTTTCCTCTGAGTTGACAATATGGCCGGTAAGAGCGGGGATGAGCCTCTCCATTAGCAGCTTCTCCACAGGCGTCAGAGCAGCTGCAGCTGTTGGTGTGGTGCGGCAGAGGAAAGACCACTTATTCTGCAGGCCTTGGGTGAGTGCAGCGTATGTAGCTTGTGGTTGCGTTTACGCATACGAGGACAACTTCTCCACGAGGTTGAGCCATCTTGTTGCCTTCTGCTCAACAAAGCTATCCAGGAACGCAGGCGTACCAATAGCTGAACCCAGGTACCGGCAACCATCGACGCGGATGTCAACTCCAGTGTCGGCGAACATCTCCACTGCTCGATCATAATGCTCCGGTTTAACCAGGAGAACCGACTTGGACGGGTTGAGATGATAGCCATAGGCAGGACCTTGCTCTGTTAGGCTATGCCACCATGCACGCAAAGGCATTAGCTTGCCACCTGCTCCTGAATCATCAGCAAACCAGGCTTGCACAGTATTTGTAGTAGAGACTGACTACAGCAAAGGAAGAACACCGAGAGCATAGAGAGGCATTGCAATCGGGTCCCCCTGCGTGGTACCTTCGGAAGAGAGGATGACTTCTCCACCGACAAAGAGCTGTGCGGGTTGCCTGTAAGTGTTGATGACAACTGGTGACATGGCTGGACAAAGATGTTGGATGTTCTGCAGATATACAGCACGATTCAAGCAATTGAACGCGTTTGAGGCGTCTGCTAGAAGGAGGCCTTCCGTTTCGTCATCTGCGAAAACTTCTCTCATGGCATGAATAGCGGCTTCTACTCCACACTCGTGACCGGCACAAAGCTGTAGGCTGCCGGCTGCTTCCAGGATGTCGTCTCGCAGAAGGCTGAGGATGGCTTTGCCCACAATCCGCCTTAAAACCTCCCCTATGCCTATGGGCCTGACACCCGGTTTTTTGTCCAATGGGATTAGGCGACATGACGTGTAGTAGGCTTGCAGTGACCAGGGGTCTGCCATGGATGTCGCCAAGCGCCTTGCACATGAGGCCACCGCATCACAAAGGTCGTCTGACGCAACACCAAATCCGGTGCACATTCGTCTCCATGTGTCGGCATCCACTCCAGAGGAGCCTGCTGCACCATGGGTGCTGAGTGCAGCCCGGCGAACAACATCTCGAGTGAGTGCTTCGAACCGTACGGGGTGTGGTGGTGCTGGAGGCGTGCCGGGAAGCACGGCGGCCGGTTGGGTTGGTTCGGCAAGGGGGTGCTTTTCCACTAGGATATCTCTGACTGGCCTGTCGCCAATTCTGTCATCCAGGTCAAGTATGCCTCCCGAGGTGTCATCATCCAGATATTGCAGTGCTGCACCCAGTTTGCCGTCGGTCACAAGCGAAGCAAACCGTCTGGCATTATCGGTGGTGATCCTGTCCCATTGCGCCTGTTGCTTTTCCAGCTGGTTATGTATGGTGCGGCATTCATGCAGGAGGTCTGAAAGCGCCCCTGCTCTCCACAGCTCCAGACGACGCTTCAGACAGATAGACGCGTAGGGTTTTTGAAATATTTCAAATTTGGCTGGCTTTTTGAGAATAGTTTTCGGAATATTACTCAGAAGAAAAGCAAATTGTTAAAAAATGCCAAATGTTAAAAAAGCCAAATCACCTCGTATAGCTTTCGCATAAGCCGAAGCGACAATAGCCAAACAGGATATGGATGGCGATATAAAAACACATGCGATATAAAACGCTTGACGAAAATAGAATACAATTAAAACAAGCAAACGAGCAGCTCAACCGAGTTGAATATTTGCTGATCATTGCCAGGGTTCATCCGTGAGCAGTAACATACCTGTATCTCTCCAGGATACGGCCACGTGACTGCACTGAGCCTGAGCCGTACATGTAGCTCCACGGCCCGCGATTCTGGGCGATGCTCCTCAGCTGCTCAAGATCTGCCCAGGTCTTGAGTTGAGGGTCCTCCCAACCAGCTCGAGATCGTGTCTGAGCACGACCTGCAGAGTTGTGCGCGGCCTGCCCCTCCACTGCTCCAGGTAGGCTCAGTGGGTGGCTTGAAGTAGGAGCACATACTATTACTAGTAATTGATAGGTTCGCCAGTACAGTGCACTCTGGTCCAGCCGCAGCACGTGCCCAAACAGATGCCAGCGCTAGCGGGCTCCCAGGATCGAGATACCAAGACTGGTGTTGATTTTGTCCTCTTGTACGAGTACAGGGTGTTATTCTTGATCTTAGCTGGGTACCGTATGCTTTCCGCAGTTGTTGTCTGTGGAACGCATCAACTCTGTGCATAGCGGTGGCGGTGAGGCCCCAAATCCCGTTGTTGTAGCACAGGTCTGCCTATACTATTATAGTAATGATTACTATTATAGTATAGGCAGAAAACATTGATTATTGATACTATAGCTCGGCTGCATGGCTGTCCGGGGGGGGGGGGGGGTCATCGATACAGCTACAGCCAATGTCTCTGTTTTGCACGGCTTGCTGTCGTTTCAGTTGACCCTCTCGCAGAGTCGCAGTGCGGCAGAAAAGCAGCAGGAGCCATAAAGCAGGTCGGGCGTTATGACCGCCTTCACATACACCTGACGAGAGCGTCAAGCTCGATAGGCTTCGGCGTGCGCGCCAATTTTCTTGGCAACCTTGGTGACCACATAGTTTACATGGGTGTCCCAATCTACATTGTACAATTGTCAAGGTGAACGCCGAGGTAGCGCGCAGAGCACGCTGAAGGGAGGAGCCAGTCGCCGCTTTTGACCATTACTTCTTGTACGTGCTGCTGGGGAGAGATAGTCAGAACCTAACCTTGTCCTTGCTCTTGGCGGCATGTTGTAGATGAGACTGAGACCAGCGGTAGAACGTTTGAAGAAAAATGTAGGAGTTACCGAGTACCCCCACTTCCTCAGTTCTTATCAGTGCCACTTGTTATCAGTATCAGATGGCGACTGCATGCACTCTACACTACTACAGCTAACAGTGTAGGACAATGCAGACTTGCAGCAAGCAGGGAGTAGTACAATACCAATATTAATGCAGTACTCCCTGCTTGCTGCAGTACAGTGGCTGCTATCCACAATGTACAGGTACAGTATGAGTATTATGACTACTACATGTACTTGAAGTATTATTATACACTGTATTGTAATTAATTATTTGTAGTATTGAGTATAATTATTATGGTACAAACTGCGATCACATGACTTTAGATAGAGAGATCACCTGCGCATGTGCACACAGGCAACACTTATTATAACTACTTGGCCAGGCGCCATAGTTTCAGACACGCCACCGGGGCCAGGGCCTAGGTATTGCTACCATTGTCTAGGCATGATGCCATGTGATGAAGTCTCTGCTGGCGTGTGGTGCATGGCTGTGTTGAAGTAAGTAGTTGAAGCCACAGCCGGCCACTGAGTCTGTACTGTGAGTGAGCCCATGCCCAT